ACTTGAAATGTAAAAACATGGTATGAACATGACATGCATGTGTTCACTTGAGTTCTTGACTTCTAAAACATGATCAAATGTGATCCATTGATGAGAAATGTTATGAATTCTTCAACTTATGCTAGAATTACAACATGCATAGGGAAAATCTTTGAAAATAACATCAAAATGCTATACATATGCATGCATTTAGACATGGTCATCAATCTGAACCGTCCAAATGTTGGGCCAGCCTTTCAATTGGCGGTAAACCCATATTCACACGTTTGGAATGATCCTAACCGTCTGGTTAGAAAGCCTTAATAAAAAAACACACATAGGAAACAATCCAAAATCAAGCGGGCTAAAGTGTGTGATACCGTATACTTTCTCTATCGTGTATGCTTTCGATATCAAATTGATCTATTAGTGCTCTCATGCTTTCTTTCTCTGTGTCACGGCATTGATGTGATGATCCGTTAATCATGCGATATGGACTCCGCTGTTAACGGCTTTATCATGCTATCTATATGTGTTGATCCATTAAATGAATGTAAGGATAGCATGTTGGTTTGTTCATCAAACAAGCATGATTCAATTGCTGCAAACTAGTTAGTTTGTTCATCAAATTCGTGCCTCATGGCTATACTATACACTCTATAAATAGAGGGTCTGCAAGAGAAGCCATAAGCCTTCGTGCTCTAAAATCATGTATGGAATGACTTATCTTTATTCAATTCTAGCTTAATCCTTAGATGAATTCATCTAATTCACTTGTTTTCATACATTATTCAACTACATTACAAGGCCAAAGACTAAAACTCTTACCTAGAGTCTAAATTGCACAAGTGAGGAAGCTTCAAGTCCCAAATTCTTTGCAAATCTTCAATAATTCCTAACAATTCTTCCCTATCCCAACTTTTGATCCCAATTTTCTTCTATCTCACTCTTTCTCTCCCACGTTTTTGCTTGTGTGTGTGTGAGCTCAAATGTATTGAAATGAAGAAAAGAAAGGGTGAAGGCATATAAGAAGCCTTACATAGGCTCACTTAATGATAATTAATTAAGGTTAATTAAGTGAGCATTAATTTAATCGTTTCAAATCAAATTTTGATTAAATCTACCATAATGTTCTAAAAATTCCAAACAACACATAAATCAAGTCAATTTCTGAATCGGATTTCGATAAGGCCTTTAATTCGCAAACCGAATAAAAACATGAACAGATCTTTCTACGTTAAACAGATATAAACAAAAAATAATGCAATGCACATGTAATTAACTTATGACTTCTTCTTAATTACTTGTTAGGCATACTTAGGCATGAATTAGCGCTAATCATGGGTCGAGGTTGTTACAGAGGTAGTCAATGTACAATAGACATTTGGGTTGTTGTAAGTTTGTGAATGATTGTCGTGTCGTTTTGCCTATCTTTGTTAGTTTCATGTTTTCATTTTGTTATCTGTTGTTTCTACTGTGGGTTCACAATTTGGATGTATTTGGATATTTTAGTGAGTTTAGCCTTTTAGGTTTTTTACACTGCTTCTAAAAGCAGTATCAGTAGTGATTTTTTTCCTGCACATCAACTTTAGGTGATTTCGTATCAATGTCATTAGTTTGTAATAGTGGTGCCTGAGGGATGCCTCTTGTAAATCTGTAAATCTTATAAAAAAAATATAAATGATTTTCATTTATTTTTGCCGCTCCAAATTTGTCGTTGCCAAAAAGTAAAGCTTTCTCGACAAACAACTTGTCAGTAAATATGTTGCCAAAAGTTTATTTTTGCCCACTCATATTGTGTTGCTAGAAGTGTATTTTTTACCAATGCCAATTTATCGTTGCCAAAAGTAAAGCTTTATCGACAAACAAATCGTTGACAACTAGCAACATTTACCGACGTAAATGTGTCACCAAAAGTTTACTTTTGCCGACTCATATTTTGTTGCTAAAAGTATATTTTTTGCCCATGCAAATTTGTGTCGAGAAAAGTGTTGCACAGTCATCATATTTGAATTACTTTTACCGACGCAAGGTAAATTGCTAACGATAGATGAAGACTTTTATCGACGACTATGTTTATCGCTAAAGGCATTACTTTTACCAATGCAATGATAATTTCGTCGGCAAAAACTTTTGCCGACTCACTTTTGCCTACAGGTTGCCAACGTAGTTTTGTGTGTCGGCAAAACTCTTTGTCAATAAATTTTTCCTTTTAGCAACATATTTTGTTGCGTTACGAAAAATATAATTTCTTGTAATGCACCCATCCACTCTGCATTGCTCACCTGGAGTTGCAACTGAAGGGATAAAGGCCCCTTCATTTATGGACAAAAATTCAACCTCCTCTCGTCTAGCTTTGGCTATCACCGTTGCTACGTCAACAAAACTATGGTTGAAAAGGTGATCATTTCTCGCCTTCCATATATTCCAAGCTGCCCATACCATCGAACAAATCGTAGTCTTCCCCCCAACTAGATGCACCGATGATTCAAAGTAGTTCCCAATCCAATTCTTCACCGAATCCATTCCGAGCATATCACATCTCAGACACAACCCACTCCCAAACCACACTCTTTTTGCCCATTCACATTCAAACAAGAGATGGTCCAAAGATTTTGTCTTTTTCAAACACATAGGACAGTGATCCGAATTAGCACAATATCTATGATGGAGATTTTGTTTGGTTGCCAATGCGTTATGGTAAATTTTCCACATAAAGTGTTTGAGCTTTGAAGGTAAGTTCAAACTCCAAACAAACTTCCATTTTTTCTCAGACCAACTCGAAGAAGATGATGCCAAGTTCGATCCCAAATGAGCTTGCTTAATAGCTTCTTGATACCCCGATTTCACCGTATAGCTTCCTTTCGAATCATAATGCCACACAAGAGTATCATCCCGATCATTAATTGAAACTGGGATTGAAAGAATAGCTTCACAATCCTCTTCGGAGACTAGCAATCTAATCTTCAATTCATCCCACAACATTCGAGAAGGATCAATCACCTGATTTACCCATTGCACCAATACCCTATTGTTCCTTACCGATTGAACTTTGAAGCCTGGATTAGAGGGTATCCATTTATCATCCCATATATTAATAGACCTTCCATTCAGAACTTGCCACCGTAGACCTCTAAGAATTTCTCTCCCTTGAAGCAAACTAGCCCATGCCAACAAAGGTCGTGGTGCTCTTGACGCATGACAAAAATCTGAGTTGGGACAGTAGATTCCTTTCATAATTTTTGCTAATAGAAGCTGTACAATTGAGTTGAAAAGTTTCAAATGATAAAACCAATTATTATGTGACTTTAAAAATTATTAATTCGTCTAAAAACTGACTCAACTCACATATTTATATAAAATTATTTTGCACTCGTTGATACACAATTTATTCCTAACCCAATAACCATGAAAAATACTCTATTGTCTATTTTTTAATACAAATATTATGCAATTATTATATTTTTATATCAATTCTTTAATAAAATAATAATTTATAATTTATTTTATTACAATAGTGAAATTTTAAGATTTTTTTATAAATTTTTAAATAAGAAATAATTCTATAAAATAAACGTTTTGAATAATTAAAAAAGATAATGCTAGGTTTCATTAAAAAAATATTATGAAAAATTTCACAAAAATTTTTCACCCTTTAGATTAATTTGTGGTATTTTATTGTATGTATAATTTAAGAGAGAAATTTTTTTATGATATTTCTTTTATAAAACCTAACATTACTCTAATAAAAATAATAATGTTAAAATTTCATATTTAACTACATAGAAATAACTCAAAATTATCATATTTTATTTCAAATTTATTTTACATATCAGTTTTACATTATACAAATTCAATCTCAACTACATCACTCTTATTTGGAATAAAATCTAGCATTTTTATACCGTTTGGTAACACTTACGTTTTCAGTTTTCTATTTATATTTACAAAAATTTTAAAAACTCAAATAAAAGCTTGTTTGGTAAATTTTTTATTTCTAAATCAGTGGTCTTAGTTTATAAATTTAGCCAAAAAATGTGTTTCCATTTTGAGTTTTCAGTTTTTTTTTTTTTTTATCACCCAACACTAGCCACCACCCGCCACCATTTTCCACCACCGTCTTCCGCCACTATCACCCACCACCCACCCCCCACCACCACTTGCCACCACCACTCACCACCCACCTACTACCACCAGCCACCACCCGCTACCACCACCCACTAGCCACCACCCACCTGCCACCCACTCGCCACCACCACCCACCCCTCGCCACCACCACCACCCACCACCCATCCACCACCACCCACCACCATCCGCCACCCACCTGCCACCACCACCACTACCCGTCACCACCACCCACTCGCTACCCCCCACCACCCGCCACCGTCACCCACCCATCCACCCACTACAGTGGATATCATGTGAAATTACTTTTTATACCCATACATGTGTGACATTTGCGTTTTTCATTAGCAAATGGATGGACCATATTGAAACTCACTTGAAATTGTAAAGTAGTATGTGTTTAAATTGAAAGTCTAGGGATTAAAGTGAAAGTATTGGGACGATTGGTGTACTCTTAATCTTTTCTTAGTTTAACTGATAGTTGGTCCCCCCCCCCTGCCACTACCACCTACTAACCGCCCCCGTCACCCACCCATCCACCACCACCCGCCACCACCATCCACCCACCACCACCCGCCATCTGCCACCCACCTGCCACCACCACCACCCACTTGCTACCACCCACCACCCGCCATAGTCACCCACCCACCCACTACCACTATCCACCACCACCCGCTACCCGCTACCCAGTACCCACCGTCACCAGTTTCTACCACTGTCTTCCGCCGTCACTTGCCATCACTTGCAATTTCTCACTTTTTTTATATTTTTAAACTTTTTTAAATATTTTATCAATTACCAAACGCGTTTATAACTTATACTTTTTTAAAAATAAACAAAAATCAATTTATAAAATTTTTGTAAATATAGACTCACGTATACGTTACCAAATAGAGAATGAGTCAAAACCGGATCCACACCCCAGTTGGGCCTCCCGCTCCGCACAAACGTGGCGGTATCTCGAGAATCAGAGAGGGTCGGTGGGTCGGTGCAGATTGATGAATTGATCTTCGATATCCGGTGGAGACTTGAAACCCAAACCTGGCTTTTACTCGGCCCTTCTCTCTGAGAACACTTGACAGAACTCTTTTTTCACACATTCTCTCTCTCTTCTAACCAAAAGCCCAAACATGACCTCAATTACTCCGCCCCAACCCCATTCACTTTCTTCCCTGCGCACCACCTCGTCCGCCGCCGCCTACCACCACCGGCTGCCAAGTTGCCTGCTCTTATCTCATCGGAACCCTGGACTTGCCCTTGACTTCACCTCCGCTTCAAGTTGTTTCCACCGCCTCTTGAGATCCCGCAGATCCTTCGCCGTCGCCACCTTGATGGCCAATTCGGTACCGGTATGTCACCTTATATGTCTCCATTTTATCCTTCTTCACATCATTATAATTTACAGCGTTTGCGTATATCTCTTTATATGTAATTTGAGTGAATTTTGCAAAATTAATCTGCATACCCTACTCGTATTAATGTGTTTTTTTTTTTTCTAGTTTAGTATACTGATTTGGAAAATTATTTAAGTTGGGTTGGTTGGGATTTAGGAAGGGATTTGGAAAGGGAAACAAAAGTTAGGTACAATGTAAATAAGATATGCAAATATTTCATTTTGTTTCATATATCTTTTCCCTATTCTCTTTTTAAATTTCTTTCAAATCTTCCAACTAAAGACACTGTAATACTCTGGAGCGTGTCTAGGTGCTCCAACTTAGTAGTTATTGGTTTAAATCATGGATCCGCCATTTTTGTGTTTAAATTTTAGGAAACAAAGTGTTAAGTGGCAATTTGTTAACGGAAGAGGGCTGATTTTCCCTCTCTCTCTCTCTCTCTCTCTATATATATATATATAATCATGAAGTTCTAAACTTATTGTCTCTTAATTATTATGATTTTGAAGCAGTAAAAATATTGTAGCGGGGAATTTAGGCCTTGTTTAGTTTGTATTTGTGAAACATGTTTTGAGATAAAAAGTACGAAAATTTGTTTGATTTGGTTTTTTTTCAAAAGATGTTTTGAAAAATTATTTTAAGAGAGAGTTTTGAAAAAAGTGATTGATTTGACGTGTGTGAGAGAGAGATTTATTTGGAAAATTTGTAAACCAAACAAGTTTTGGAAAAAAAATTTGGAAAAATTTGTTTGGTTTAATTACTTTTGAAAACTTATTTGTAGAGAATTTTTTTCAAAATTTTTTGAGAAACACAAACCAAAGTTTTTTTGTTTGATGCATATTGTAATGTCAGGTACTGCAATTTACATTGCAATTTTTTTTTTTTTTTTTTTTTCAGAGCTTATTTAAGTTATTTTAACACTTCCATCTTGAACTTTGCTACATTGCCAAGTTGTTCCAATCTCATGGGTAAATGGTTTGATATTAATCAGCACCAAGTCTCCTTGTAAAGACTTGATAAATGCTTGTGAATGATTGAGAGTTAGTAGGCTGCCCAAGTGGATACAAAGAGCGAGGTGGCTTCCTCCACTTGGTTTGGCAATTTGTAAGTAAAGAGAAGAGACTATGCTCTGGTATTGACTTCAAAATCTTCAAAGGCCTCAACGATCACAGACGTGGTTGGGTGTGATAAATATGAGATCATCACATGTCTTCACCTGGAGAGCTTTTCTTGTGGAGATTTTTCTCTTTTTAAGAACAGTTAAGATGAAAGTCCCTCGAGGTAGAGGGGACAAGTGCCTTGATAAACTATACCTGTAAGCCACACATATCCCTGCAAGTCCTTGCACTGGGCTATGGGATTGCTTGGGGTACATGGGTCATACTCCCCATCTACTTTGGCATGATAACATCAGGTGCCATTTAGGGATAATGTAGGTGATCAGGGACAGAGACATAAAAGGAACACATTTGGGCAAACGGTCATTTGGCAATCGAGTGTACCGAGCGTGTCATCATGAGTGGGAGGGCTAACAAGCTTGAGTGGAGATTTGTTTGGCCAAGCTGAGGTATAATGTTGAGTGCGTCTAGACGAGCATACAAAGTACCTTAAGATCATCCCTGAGCACCCAAACTCAAGGCCAAAGTACCGCAGCATTAGCCTTGACCAGTGTGGCTCAATTTGTGGTGAAATCTAATTTGTCTATGTCGTGTAATCTCACGAGGCTGACTCGCAATCCCAACTTCATAAAGAGAATGACATGTTATATTGCATTTTTTTAATCATCTTTGAAGGAAAGATTTATATATAACAAATAATATATATAAATTATGTAATTGTGTGTGTCCGATATGTGTCGTGTGTCCTACATTTTTTTTGAAAATTGTCGTGTTGACATGTTCTTGTCGTATCCGTGTCATGTTGCGGGTTCATGCTTCTTTGCTCTTAAATAAAATAAACATTAGGCACATGAGTGACAACAACCCAAAAGATAAAGGTAGTGAAATCATGGGTTGGCGATGGTAAACAAGAGTCCATGCCTCATTCTCCATGGTTGACAGCCAAGCATCATATTGCGAAGCTCTAGAGAGGAAAGCTCTCAATTTTTGAGAAAGAAACCTCTATAATTGCCCATATGGTTTACTCGTTGCTGCACCAACCTTTTATTGTGAATATCTTAAATGGTTGTTATATAGCTTTCAGTATGATTCTCAAGGTATGGTAAGATTTCGTCTTAATTCAAGCATGTGTTTGTTGGGCACGAAATTTGGTTTTTTCAAAAAATGGGTATTTTTAGTCTTATTGCATTATTTTGTTTTGTTCGTGTAATTGTTTTATTTGATCTTTTTTTTTTTTTTTTTTTTTTTTTTGGCAGCCAAGAAGTGGAGTATATACTGTCGGTGATTTCATGACCAGGAAAAAGGATTTGCATGTGGTAAAGCCTACAACAACTGTAGATGAAGGTATTTCTGGCTTTTTTCGTTTTGTTTTTCTAGTTTACGTTACATTTTTTCTCTTCCTTTCTAACATGTCTGCCTTTGTGCTAACAGCTCTGGAAACTCTAGTTGAAAACAGAATTACTGGTTTCCCTGTGATTGATGACAACTGGAAATTGGTAATTTTTTTTTGCCCCTTTATTTGTCATCATATTAGATTCTTTTACTATACATTTATGCAGTAGTTTTTGTGCTTTGGCATTGTTCAAAAACTATTCTTGGTGCAGGTTGGCCTTGTTTCGGATTATGACTTGTTAGCATTGGACTCCGTATCAGGTAGATCAACAAACTGAATTTGAGCTTGTTGTCTGATGTTGTTTTAGGAAATTCTAGGTCAAGTTTTCCTCTTCTTGGTTCTTATCTTTGTTGGTTAGACGCTTAGAATATCAATTGTTTTTTTTCTTGTTTACATTTGATTACACATCAGGTATGAGTGAAGGTGATTTAATTTAATCATTGTATTTTCATTTTGTATATAAATAAATATATATATATATATATATATCATGTTGCCTTCCTTGGTTTTCATGTTGTCTGGATTTATTGTTATTAAATTTCTGAATATCATGGACAGACTCAGTAGGGTTGCAATGCATCTTTCTCAATGGCAAGAAATTATTTGGCTGGCACAAGGATGATCTCCACATATTCTATCCTCTCATAAGAAGAATATGGTCCTAAAACAATATGTAATGTCATTCAGGTGGATAGGTTGGAACCTAAAGAAAAGTTGCCATTATAAAGGTGATGATGAAAGTTAAGGAGAATACCCACCTCACATGCACATGTGCAATCAGATTCTCTATCATCATTGAACTTAGTTGAGTTTTCAACTGCCGAATTTAATATTATAGTATCTATGGAAACTTGCACTGCCAATTTTGTTGTTATTTCTTAGACTTTTGTTTTGCTCAAAGCCTATCCAGTTTTGTTCATCAAGTTCCACCTACCGTTGGCATTAGCTGACTATTTCTATTACCTCAGCTTGATGACAGAATTGTTACCTCAGTTTTGTTCATCATATATTGGTGTTTTCCTTGCAGTTAATTGCATGTGTTGTAAAAAGGTTACTGTTCTTCCTTAGCTAAATGTTGATATCCAATAATTTAGTAAAACCTGCCTGGGCAAAATACTGCAGTGGGCAGGATATTATGCTGCCTCTCTGAAAGAGTCCTTGAGCAATCTTTTGAAATGTTCACACTTCACACTCAACTGGGGCATAGTTGGAAAATTACTAGTTGTGGACCTTGTGGTCGGTTCCATGCTAGTATGTTACTTTCAAGTTTCATCTAGTGGCACAATAATAATTTGAAGTGAAATCCACTCTGCTGAAGTTGTTCCACCTACTGGATAACTTTTTTGTTTATTGCACACTGAAATTGTCTGTCAAACAGATTAGAGGAGTTGCGTAAGTCTACAATTTCTTTCCAGTTGGATTGCATTTCTCTGTCAAGATTGAAGTTTTCATTTTTCTTTGATGTTTCATTTCATGCTTAATATGCTTTTCTCTGACCTTTTGCTTACTCCATTTACTTATTTTTTTTACAATTTTAAAACATGTAATGCTTACAATACTTAATAAAAGATTACACAAATGTTTCCTCCATTTCTTTTGATTGGTGTTGTGTTTACATGTTTTATAGAATGATTTTCATCTATGTTACATGGATTCGGGTATGAGTGTCGGGTGAGGGTGCATATCTAGGAGGAGTTGAATCCGTCAAATCTCAAGTTGAAGGATACATGGACTCAAGTAAGAAGTATAATATTTTTCACATTTTTAATATATTTTATAGATAAAAAAGCACTCGACACAAAAAATACATATGACGACATTGTTAAATACAATTATATAACAAACTGAATTGATGGATGTGCTTAGCAAGTGCATACCTAATGGAAAGTATCAGACACATCCCATACCCATAGCCAGGTATCAATTGTCCGACATGGGTACTTAATTTATTTTGAAGAGCCCATGTAACATAGATTTTCATTAGGAAAAAATTGTCTCAAGTGTCCGAGACCAATGACTATGGGCTTTGAGTAAGCCATATCTTTGTGTTTACACTTGCAGACTCCATAATTATGGGTACTATTGGTTCAGATTGTTGATCCTACTGTTTTTACATCTTAAGTTACATAGAAAGGCTTGAAGATGATATACTCTTGTTGGCCATAAATGGACTCAACATATACTTGTCAAAATACACAATCTACTTGAAGCTTATCTGCCATGGCTTGGTGGTTTGTGCCACAATTCACCAGATGATGTGTTTTGGGCTCTTGTTCAACAAGTGTATGGGTACACCTTGTCTCATGGTATGTTTTGTGTGAATTCTTGCGAGGGTCAACAGATATGTGCCTTCGTAAAAATAGTTCATCTTCAATTGAGTGTGTTGTTTGCTTTTGGTGGGTTCCATCTATTTTATGTTGTTATCAAACTATTCTATACAAATGTAAAATGTTTCTGTGCATCAAGATAGACTATCTATTCTAACGTGGTCCATTTCTTCATTCTTCTTTTAGGTGGTGGACGGACTGACATAAGTATGTTTCCAGAAGTTGACAGCACTTGGAAAGTATGTAAGAGCCATCTTTGTTTAGAAGTAATCTCTCATGTTTGTTAGTGTCTCACAACATATGCATCAGGATTATATATATATATATATATGTGTGTGTATGGATGTATGCATTCTTTTTTGTGGCTATGTATAGTTCACTCTTCTTTTTATCAGCTCCAGATGTTTGTAGTTCATACTTTCGTTCTGTTGCATTAACTTTTTAATTGTTGATTCAGTGGTTCAAGATTATTTTACTACAAAAAATTGATTGGTGCTTGGTTAAGGCAAATAAATGTTTGCACGTCTTTGGGTATACAAAAACCATTAGATATGTTCATGCTCTGAACAAGTTAAAATTAAGAAAAAGAAACAAAATCAGTGAATAAGCATTCCTTCTACACAGGGGTTGTTCTTTTAGTCACCTGCAGATTTTTTTTTTCTTTTTTCTTTTTTCTGGCAAGCAAGTCTCCTTTAGATCTTTAAAAACCAAGCATGAGGTAAGTCTTGTACCCGTAGTCTGTTCAATTCAATCCATACCCAAGGCTTCAAGCCCCAAAGGAAGTAGGACAACTTATCTAGAATTGGTTGACATACTCTCAAATGTTACCAGTGTGCTTTTAGATTACGCAAGGCATGGATAAAAGATTTGGTATTCTGACCACTACCTTCTCTACTATGTGCATTGATGAATTATGAATCAATAGGGGTGCAACTTGGGCGGGCGCAACTCGAGCAACCCGAGCCCAACCTGATTTTTTTTAGGGCTTGGACAAGATATTTTTAAATTCAGTACGGGCTTGGGCAAATATTCAGAAGCTCGAATTAAATTTGGGTGGGCTTGGACAAAGATATCAAATAACCCGAGCAACCCAAAGTCCGAATTATACAAATATAGATATATAAAAATATTATATATATATATAAATTATTAGTCATTACATTATGTTAAAGTAATTTAGATTATTAAATCATATTGAATATATATTATGTATACAAATAGCATAAAATCTTATCTTTTTTAATTTTTATTCATAAATTGTAAAGACTACTATAGCAGCATCTCTCTTATATTTTGGGTGGGCTTGGACAAAGATATCAAATAACCCGAGCAACCCAAAACCCGAATTATACAAATATAGATATATAAAAATATTATATATATATATAAATTATTAGTCATTACATTATGTTAAAGTAATTTAGATTATTAAATCATATTGAATATATATTATGTAAACAAATAGCATAAAATCTTATCTTTTTTAATTTTTATTCATAAATTGTAAAGACTACTATAGCGGCATCTCTCTTATATTATATAAATTATTTGTTTTGATGGTATTAATGATTTTCTATTTAAAAAAATAAATAAATTGGAATTGATTTACAATTCAGGTTTAACTCGGGTCGGGCTTGGGCAAGCAATCTTGGGTTGCAATTCGGGCCTGGGCGGGCCTAATCAGATCTCAGCATAACTTGGGCTGGGCTTGAATAACCTTCCAACCCGACCGAACCCATCCGAGTTACACCCTTATGAATCAACTAGATAGGAGAAGCAGAATGGACTTGTTTGGGTGGACTTCTTTCTTTTCTTTTCATTTTTAAAGCTGAGAAATCCTATAGGGAATTAGACAATCTAAGTTCTTTTATCTTTACGAATACCATGCAGACATTCAATGAGGTGCAGAAGTTGCTCAGTAAAACCAATGGGAAAGTGGTTGGTGATTTGATGACACCTGCACCAGTCGTTGTTCGTGAATCCACCAATCTCGAGGATGCTGCTAGGTTCTCTCTCATTCTGACTCTTGACATTATTGTCATTCTTGTATTATGTCTCCTTGTTTCTTCCCTGGCTGCAGATACCTTTATGTTAACTAGATTGAATCCGTGGACTGCTTTATTTGATGTTTCAGATTATTGTTAGAAACAAAATATCGCCGACTTCCAGTTGTAGATGGTGAGGGAAAACTGGTAAGAGAAATCCTTTTTTCCTTTTTTTTTTTTTTTTTTTTTTTTTTTTTTTTTTTTTGCGCCTGCAACTAGTTTATTATCTTTCTTCTCATTGTTTCCTGACTGGCCGACTTTACCATTCTAAAGGTTGGGATTATTACAAGAGGAAACGTCGTTAGAGCTGCCCTTCAAATAAAACATGCTAGTGAAACCAAAGCATGACATCCAGGAAAACACTTTTAATCCTGAAGAATTCACTGCATTTGAATTCGGCAAACAGCGATAGTACTTCCAATTTTTTCAATCAAAGAGAGTGAAGGATCTCCATTGTTGTAAACGTACAATTTTGGGTTATGCATGTATAAAACATCATTGATTCTTCCTTACTAAAATTATATGGAGAGAGAGAGAGAGAGAGAGTACTTGTTGGGGCCAAAGTTGTTATCCTTCCTAACAGAATGGAAAATAAAAGGCAGGAAAATACTTTTTCCATAGCATGATAGAAGCTTTTGTAGGATTATTATAAATGTTGGTGGTTTTTGTGCATTTGATGTGAAAGCTACGAGGCATTTATTTAAGTTAGCTTTCCTTATACATTTCTCAATTATTCACTTTTTATTTAGTGTTTAGCGTGTTAGCGAGTGCTCTAATGGAATCTGTTAATAACACTCATGTATAAGTCATTTATTTCTCTGTCATGTCACCATTGTCTGGTTCTTGAAGGGACTGTTTTTGTCGCTTTTTATTTCATTGATGGTAGTTGTTAAGCCAAGTTGTTGAGGATGTCTCTATACTTTTTTGACCTTGAAGGGGCTCATATGAGGAGAGGCAAATTTTATTGGGCATGAAAAATATCAGGTTTTGGAAGATTTGGTGCACAAAACCAGGTTCGTTTTAAGATCAGGGCCCCTGCTGGTCCCCTAACTATTTGACTTTAACGCCTATGAACTGTCATCTTTTCACTAATAGATACACACTTGTGAAAGAATTAGGTGAATGATTTTAGGTGAACGATTTTCACATCTTTTTTTTCACTAATAGATACACACTTGTGAAAGAATTAGGTGAATGATTTTAGGTGAACGATTTTCACATCTTTTTTTATTGCTGTTTTATGCCGACTTGCATGGGTTGTTTCTATGCCCTTCATTATTATTATGGGAGATTTGGCTACCAGTCCCTTAGACCTTTCGTTTTTTGTCAAAAGGACCAAAAAAAAAAAAAAAAAAATTCAATACTTGCAAAACACCTTCACAACTGCTACAAGTCCCTCAGACCTTTTGTTTTTTGTCAAAAGGACAAAAGAAAAAAATTTAATACTTGCAAAATTTCCTCACAGCTCTTTTTTTTTTTTTTTGGTTAACGGGATAAAATTTTATTTTGATTCATACTCAAATTTTACTTTGAATCAAAGTAAAATTTGCTATTTCGCCTATGAACAAATAAAAAAGAAAGGAATGAACAAAAAACAAGATTTATAGGGGAAGGAGTGAACATGAGAGAGAGAGAGAGAGAGAAAGAGAAACAAAATCAAAAAGAGAGATAACGAAATATCGATTTTCAAATTTAAAATAATAAATCTCAGATTTGAGGTCATCAATCTCGTATAAGATAGTGAAAACAAACAATGATTGTAAAAATGATAAGAAGGATGTTTTAAAATACTAAGAATTTTTTAAAGCACTCATATAATTCTTATCTTTGGACAAGATAAGTGCCTCGATAAGAGATTTATGACCAAATTTTTCTTATTATTAGTTAGTAAGATATGTTGCAGGAACACATTTTCTCCTTTCTACTAGTAAGGTTGTCAAAATGTATATATATATATAATTTTTCTTTCGAAAAATTGTGTCTAATCATTTGTTGTAATTTTTATTTATAGTGAAAAAGTTTTGATTACTCAAAATTGGAGTGTTTTTATGATGTATATAAATTATCAAACTTTTGAAATAAATTGAGGACTACAAATACTTTTTTGTCAGGTTTTAAAAATGAGTAAATATTATTTTTAAAATTTTAAAAATAATAATGAAAATTACACCATAAATGATTCATCAATTCATGATTGTAAAAAATTCTTTTTTTTTTTCCATTCTATCCCACTTTTACTGCAGTGAATCAAAAAGGGTAACTTCGGTGAAGCAGGAAATTTGGGATCCAAATAACTCAGAACAGGGAAAATGGTAGAGATTGTTGTTAATGAAGGGATTTTCTTGAGGATTGCAAAAGTATGCTGCAATCGAGACATGCTATGGAAATAACAATCAAACCCTCATTTTTATTTGCAAACAAAAGCATGCTCTACACATGCGTGCTGTGTGCATTTGCACTGGGTTTACATACAAAATACAAGTACCAAAGAGAATTTCCCCTTGAACATGATTTTTACTGTGGAATTATGTCTGCAACTTACATGTCAACTGTCTAACCAAGTGAATATTCCTGATGTGAGAAAATTTGTTAATCCATCAGGTCAAACATATGCAAAAAAAAAGCACAAAAGATCAAAGACCGTCACCTTTATTTAACGAAAAGGTTAAATATACATTTTAAAAAATATTTGAGACTTACAAAAAAAAAATTCACAATTCAACTCACAATAATGTGATTTGACAAGTGTTAGCTTTTTATTGATAAGACACCCAATTATATAGAATCTATCACTTTGCTACTTCATTATAGATGTATTTGTAGATACAAAATATAAATCTTTTAACATTGTTATTACACCCTTGCATTTTACCTCAATCAAACTCTTTGCTTTGCGCTTACCATCTAGTTACAATGTGGAACGGAACATATAAAAAAATTTCATCCCAAGCTCTCTCTCTCCCCTTCAACCTCTTAACGCCTTCCTCTCGAAACCCATCATGGTCATTTCCTCCTTTCACCCGTCTCTCTCTTTCACCCCACCACCTTCTCATTCTCTATCTGAAATCAGTGCAAAACCCCACTGATTTCTCACTTGCAGTATGTCTCTCTAACCAACTATAAATTGATTGAGCATTATTGTGCAAACCCATTTACTCATCACTATATATTTGTGAATAATACATACATATGGAGAGAGAGAGAGAGAGAGAGAGTAGGATATGGAGTTGGCTGTAGGTGGTGGGGAAGAGTTCATGGGTGCTAAAGAAGAGGTGATGAGTGGGCTTGTTTGTGGGTGGGCTAGTTGGAAATGAGGAATTCGTAAAAGGGTGGTGGCGGACAGCGGTAGGGAAGGCATGGTGGAAGGCAACAAATGATGGGATGATAATGAATCAAAGTGAGAGTTATATAATACTAAGATTTACCCTTGATTAAATTTCTTTGCATTATATAATAATAAACTCAAATAATAATCACATAATCAAATTCAATCAAATTTTTTTTTTCAATCAAATTTTCCAAAAAGCTACTGAGACAGAAAGTTTGATATTGTGAAATGGATTCATCATAAATGTAATGAGTTGACTATTATAACAAGAGACCAAATTTGGTGTAATTTGACAACTTGAACCCTCTGTAACTGCTGGTGCCCACAATCTCATCACCACCACCCCCCAACAAAACAACAATGCAGAACCAGAAAAATACCTAACTAAAATCTTATCAGCACTTTTATATTACTAGATTAGTACAACTTAGAAAGCATGTATATATGTATATATGGCCACTCCCACTTGCACCAACTCAAAACAAATGTAGGCCCCCCTTACTGTTCCCCTCCCTCACCATCTCTCAACCCCACCCCCACCTTCCTCTTCACTTTTTAGTTTTGGTACCACCACTACCACTTGTACCACACTAAAAGTTACTAAGCCTCCACTCTCCCCCCACCACTCCTTCCTCAATAAATTTTATTTTACTTTTAATAAATTGAAAAAAAAGATCTTATTAGGGATACATAATAAACTATATATAGAATAGAATCATACTCTAGGACACAATTTTGCTAATAATGTAAAATGCGATACAGATAGTCACATGTAGTGACAATAAATAATATTATGAATACTCAGAAAAATATCTTGTAAAATACTCTATTACATTCATTCTCGGTTTAAATCAAAACACACTAATTTTAAATCTATCATATACCCTACAATTTCAGGATCTTTTTGGATACTTTCTGATAGAAAAACTTATGGGTACATTATAAAAAATAATAATAAAACCTCAAAAAAAATTCATGCACAAATTGTTATTGAAAAGAACGCAATAACTAAAACAAGTATTCACACTAATTCTTCTTTAACATGTTACAGAACATCAAAATTTCTTTATCCATATTAAAATAACATACCAACTAAAAAAGAAGAAAAGAAAAAAAAAAACCCACAGAAATTACTGCATCCTAGCAGATAGCAAATAGTAGAGTAATACATTCTTATATATATATATAATATTATATCTGGACTCACCACCAATCACCAGTCATCATCGGCATCCGGGTCTTCGGGTTCGGGTTTCTTATTCAAGTCAGGCTTCTCTTCAAACCAGAAGGGTTTGAATCCAGAGGAAGGTTCATCGTGGTGGTGAACAGTCATGGAAGTCTCGAGTGCGAGTGCATCGACCCTAGCACCCACCTCGATCGCTTTCTTCCTTATCGACGCCGCCGACAAGTCTCGATCACGGTGGCCTCCGCCGCCTTCACCGACCAAGTACTCCGGAAAATTGAGCCTCGCCGACGGCCCCCTCAGGTAGTACACGGCGGTGTCGTAAGCCCTCGCCGCCGCCACTGGAGTCGAGTAGGATCCTAACCATATCCTCGACCGCTTGTTCGGCTCTCTAATCTCCGCCACCCACTTCCCCCACTTTCTCATCCTTATCCCCTTGTACGGCCTCTCACTCTTCCTCTTCCCCCCTCCTCCTCCCTCCATCTCTTCCCCACCTCCTTCTCTCTCGCTCTCTCTCTCTATACACAATTCAAGAAATTATACCGATTGAAAAAGGGCATGAGGTTGTAACAAGTGGCGACTACCTGGATTCTAGGGTTCTTGTCATCTGGGTCAGTTCCACGTTGATTTTCTTCACACACACAGGGAGGAAAGAGGTGGAAAGAAAAAATTCAAATGCACCGACAAGCTCTCTCTCTCTCTCTCTCTCTCCCCCTCTCTACGATTCGATGTACTTGCAATTTTTTTTCTCTCTCCAAAAAGCTTACCTTATTACTGTAAGTTAATGGCCGCCACTTTGAAGGAGGAGATGCTTTTTTCCCCTCTTTGTAGCTGAGTTTTTTTTGTCTGTTTGGCTCCAAGGAAAAAAATAGGACAAGAAAATGGAAAGGATACTTGGTGGAGGAGTGATGAGTGGGCTTGTTTGTGGGTGGGCTAGTTGGAAATGAGGAATTCGAAAGGCAGTTGTCAATTGCCCTTGTGGTGTAGTGAGAGAATGCGATTTATATATATGTATGCAATAATTGTGTGTCATGGTTTTTTTTTTGTTTTTTTGGGGAAGGAAGGAGGTGGAGGACGGTAGGTCGGTAGGTCGGTGGATGGATAGATACCGTTATGACTTGACTTTGCCTCCATGGCAATAAAATTATTGTGAAAAGACAGATATGCCCTTCTAAACGGAGAATTATTTGGTGCTTATCCAATTGTCCAATACACAATTATCATTAATCACACCTCTCTTTACCATCAAATAACTTTTCCTTATAAACCTAGTTTTTTTTTTTTTTTTTTTTGTGAAGATATTGCAAATAATTGGAACAGAGATTATTATTATTATTTTTTTTTTTTTTTACTTTTTTATGATTGTATAAATTTTTTGTATACATATATAAGTCTTTTTAGACTGTCGATTTGGTCCCATGATCTTGTAATCATACCTTAGAGTGTGGTAAGAGGAAGGTTAGAAATTCAAGCTAATGGAGTAGCAGCGATCTCTTTAACCTTTGTTTGAAATGTAAATTGACTTTTTAATTTTTTAACTATGTAAAAATACATGACTTCTGGTGACATTTTTAATGGTTGCCAAGTGTTAATTTGAGTCACTAATTTGGTTATCTTATAAATAAATTCTCATTATTTATTTATAGAAATTTCAAATGAGATTTAAAATAAATGGATGATAGGACATTTTTCAACGTTTTGTGTCTTGGTGTATGTATTCATATAAGTTTAATGTTTAGGGACTAATGATAATTTAACACGATATGAAAGGTAACTTAACTATTAGGTCATTTAAATGGAAGCTTCAAAAAAAATTTATTGTCGAAGGTCCTAACTTTTCAAAAACTTAATTAAATAAAACTTCATTTTGATGTTTAGCCTAAGGTCTCAAAAAATTTTGAACTGCCACTGCATCTCATTATCTCTATCATTGTGCATTCTGTTTTGTCGACAGGTAATATGGTAATTTATAACAAAGTTTAACTAAAATTGATCAAATTATCACAAAACAAACCATTAAAATAGTTGAGGTTGGAAACACTTTCCTTAGAGGTCAACAAAAATCTCATTTGGGATGAGTTTTTTAACCTTTTTATTTTTTATTTTTGTGAAAAAAAAAATAAAATGATTATGATTTGGTTGTTTCATTTTGTCTTATTGACTTTTTCGCATATTTTATCTTTATTGTGGCTAAAATAGTCAAAATAATCTATGCCAAACATAGCCTTATTGTAATTTAATTTTATTAACAAAAACTAGCATCTTATAATCTTGACAAAAATATATATATACAAGTCTTTTATACGTTTGATGCAAATCGTTAACAATTTCATAGGTAAGGGTGTTTTGAAAAGATAGTTAAAAGTTGATTTTTTTTAATTTTTTAACTCTTTTTTTTTTTGTGAAAGAAGAAGTGGATTAAAATTGAGAAGTGACTTTTAGATTTTTAATCAACTTCTCAAAATAGGTTGTAATACCTTTTCTATTATACTATGCAAATCGTTAACAATTTCATAGGTAAGGGTGTTTTGAAAAGATAGTTAAAAGTTGATTTTTTTTAATTTTTTAACTCTTTTTTTTTTTTTTTTTTGTAAAAGAAGAAGTGGATTAAAATTGAGAAATGACTTTTAAATTTTTAATCAACTTCTCAAAATAGGTTAGTAATACCTTTTCTATTATACTATTAATTTGTAATTTGTAATTTTTTGTTTTTTATTTTATTTTATTTTTTTGTTGAGATGACTTAGGTAATTTTGTCATTTAATGACTAATGATGATGCCACCATGAGAAAAGATGAGGCGCCCTGTTTTGTTGTGTAGCATACATTGCGTTAGTGGAGGATAAAATAATAACCATTATCAGAGCCCAAAAAATCTCAAGCATTTTTCTAATATATTATATTTATAGTTTCTAGGCTGCATTTGCGTGATTATGTACACGTGTCTTCTTTGGATTCAATTGATTATATTACTAACAAATTGACAAGTCAATGAGTAGACCCAAAATATCAGATTAATTATTTAAGAATTTTATTAATATGTATTTTTAGGGTAAAAAATTATATATATGTATGTATATATTTAGACCAAGATAATTATATTAAATTGAAAAATCAAAAAAAAAAAAAATTGTCAATTAGTACTAAACAATGACCTTTAATATAGAGTAAGGCCTAGTTTGGGATCTACTATATAATCCATCTTTTTATCTTTTTATCTTTTTTTCATCACATCACCTCTCTACTTTTCTGCACATCTTTTCGTAAAATGACAAAAAATACAATTTTTTAGGACACCCCAAACCAACCCTAAATAATCTATATTTGCATTTGACAAACATTGACTCCACCCAACATGAAATTCTTGAGGCCACAAGCTATAGAAAAACTCATTTCATAAGTCTTGTTCGGATAGTGGGGGCTTTAATTGATGCATGAAAGTTGGTTCAAAACACCCTACATAACAAAAAAAGTTATATAACATAGTCTTATTAATTTTTTTAGACCACATATTAATAAGAAGTTAAAAGAGATTATATATTCTACATGAAATAAAGTGTAATAAAAAGATAATTTATCAATGCACTCGTTGAGAATTGTTTAAAATACGATTTACTCCCTCTGGTCCTGAAAATTACATTTTGCCTCTTAAAGTTTTTAATTTCATAATAAATTACCTCTTTTATTAATAAATCATCAATTTAATTAATAGTTTTCAATACTATCTATAAAAAAATAATAAGAAGAAGAATTTTTAATAAGAATTTCATTTTTTAATTAATTATGTTAAATAAAAAATTCTAACAATGAGCTATTTGTAATTTTCTAAATCACAAGGAATAATTTGTATTTTGAGCAAATTTTAGGAGTGCATTTATAATTTATCCAAATAAAAATGTATACTTTTAAAGTTTTTTTTAATATGTCTACTAAAATGCACACATTAACAAGATCTATTATTAATATATATATATATATATATATTATTTTGTACAAATCCGACAATTATGAAGAAGGATTGTAAAAGTTTGTTTGCCTGCATTGTTAGCAACAACTCTTTATGAATCATTGATCAAAATGCTTGTTTTCTATGCTTGGGTAGGTGTTTGGTATACCATAAAAGATAAGGAAAATGAAAATGAAATGATTACCAAGTACAAGTTCTTATATGATAATGATAATGTTATAAAAAAAATTCGTAAAGGTTAAGTGATGAAATGGTTTTTTTTTATTTTTTATAAATGAGTAGCATTATATGCCAACATCATCTTATATGTAAGTCCTATATAAAAAGCTTATTTGCATGGATAACATCAAGGGTAAATTATACCTGTAATTTTTCTTGAATTAGTTTCATTATTTGAAGTTCTAATTTTATTAGTTATATATTTTTAAAATTTTAATTTTGTGTAAAATTAGTTCAATTGATATTGCCTCCTTAAAAATTGAATTAAAATCAAGGGAGAAGATCGTTCATTATCTCCTTGAAGTGATTGAGATTTGAAATGGTCCATTAAAATTTTTTATCATTGATTTATATTCAATTTCTTAATGGATATTATCAATTAAACTAAATCAACATACTTGAAAAATTAAAAAATCAAAAATGATGGAGACCCCCTTTTTCCTTGACCCCCACAGCCCCCACAGACACATGTCAGTGAGAAACAGGAGAAAAATAAAAATAAAAATAAAAAAGTAAAAAGTTGGTCAATCCCAATACATTGGGGATGGTGGGGGTCAAGAAAAAATGAGGTCTCAACCTTTTTCTTTAAAAAATAAATACAATTAAAATTACTATGACCAAATTGACATAAGAGGTAACTTATAAAGACCACGGATATAATTTACCATAACATTAATTACTCTAATGTATAGATGAGAAAATTTTATGCATTTTAGCAGATTCTAATTAGTAGGGCATCTAGTTCCATAAATAAAAATAAAAATAAAAAAAATAAGTAAGGCATGTTTTCAAAATACACCATTTTGGTTGTAAGCTATATCTTACTTTAAGAATGTTAAAAACAATTAAAAAAAATGTGTTTCCTCTCATATGAAAATGGTACAAGCTACAATAATACGGCATTTATAGAAAATTTTACACATTTTGGTGGATCTTGATTTGTAGACCATGTGATCAACATAATACCAATTTGGTAATGAATTTTGAAATGGGCCCACCGGCCGCACAACAAATGTATTAGAGAGAGGGGGTGTAAATGTGACAATAATGGTATTCCCTGCACTTTTGAAATATAATACATACTAGTGTGAAAATAGATAGTGGTTATAGCTGTCAATAATATGAAATTGTTTTGTGAGGTAATTTTATAAAAATTAAAAAAAAAAAAAAAAAGCATGACATAACTTACTTTCACACCAAACTGAATGTACAGTACATATCATATAATATAGTATAAATACAGAACATAAAATGCAACATTTTTATTTACACATACATCTCCCTTATAGTTAGTTTGGGATATGCAGCCACATGAACTTTCCACCCAAAAACAATTAAAAGTTATGTGGGGATATATTTTCTGAGTACCAACACGTGGCAAGGTGACGCCGACGTGTCAGCCAAGGTGCCACGTGTCTTGGTCGTTGTGCCGTGAGTCTTGGGATTAGTTAGGGTTTACTAGGATACCCAATTATAGATAAAAAATAAAATGAAAAGGAAAATGAAAGCAAACCTTCTTGTCCATATGCTGTTCCAGTGCCATATGAAAAATATCCAGAAAACAAAAACAAAAAAACAAAACTCCATGTCAGACAAAACGAATGAATAAGCAATACTACAAAATTAAAAGATGAAAACAACAACAGGAAAAATCACCTTGGAGACTAAAATCCTTCAAACTAACATCACAAAGCTCATAAACATTTGTCATGACCCCGCCCTTTCGGAGCATGGACCCAAACACTGTTGCACACATTATGGCCTGTCTATTCGTAATTAACATTTGTCTTTGTATCCCCGCAATGTAAGTATTTAAGGAGCTACAACATGAAGAACTTGGAGAAGCTACATTACGGCATGATTTAATTACTTCCAATGGTTGCTTAAAATCCAAAGGACAAACTGCAGAACAAAAACATCAGCACTTATACGACATTTCCATTCAAAACCATCACAAAAAGAAAACCAGAAAGTATATATGAGTAACAATGTAACATATGCATCTCAATAAGTACATCTTCAAGATACATAATTCACTATGGTGGGGCCAGATTTCCTATCCAATCCACTAATTAGCAAATAGAAAGTAGAAACTGGGTTAATCCATATTCTGAAATACTACGCGAATGCTTTGACTCATATGCTCACTTGGTGAGGGAAATAAGTAAATAAACAGCATAGAGAATGAGATAAATCTGACGATTGGTTGCTGAAGATTGCATCTCATCTCTATGGGGTTTTAACCCTTACTAAAGATTAGCATCTCATCTCTAAGGGGTTAATTCCAGTGTTATTAAAGGCGATAGGTGCACCAAGGTCTCCTGGAGCTTAGGCTCAAGGCGTTTAGTGAGGCGCAGGCTTCACAGAAGTGAGGCTCACTTTGTATGGAAAAAAATATATAATTTAATATAAGTAAATAATTTAGGGTTCAACATAAACAAAATGAAACGTTAAACATTTAGTGTTTTTTGGAGATTAGGAATTAGGACTAATTTTTCTTCTATCATTGATTTGAGGTTGAATGCTCAATGTATTGGCATTTGTAATAAGAGTAGAAATCTTCTATAGCTACACCATATTGGCCTCGTTTGGGAAGTGGCTATTTTAGTAGGCTATTTGGCTTTTTGACTATTTTAGTAGGCTATTTTAGTTTTGTGTTTGGGAAGTTGGGTTAAATTTTATTTTGAGTTGGTGTATTAAAAAATGTGTTGAAAAGATGTTTGTAATTAAAATGACCATTTTATCTCTACAATTATAATTTTTCAATTTCCGGCTAAGGGGTAAAATGGTAATTGAGCTGTTGATGTAACAATTGCCGGCTGTGACAGTGTAGTCCAGCGCTCAGCCCTATTTTTTTTTTTTTTTTTGAAAAAGTTGGCAACAGTGTTGCTTTTGGGCTATTTTCTGAAAATAGGCTACAATAGCCTCAGTTGAGGCTTCCCAAACAGCGCCATTAAATCAATAGTCAAATTTCAAATAAAACCAATTAAAGCAGCAATAAAAAAATAAAAAAAAAAGCCCTCACGAAGCAACCCTTGGGCCAGTCAGGTAATATCGAAGACGCCTGGCTTGGAACACTATAAGGCACAAACCTTGGGCCTGGACAGGACTTGGGCTTAGGCGCGCCTTATCGAAGTCGCCTAGCCTGGAACATTACAAGGTGCAAACCTCGGGCCTGGATGGGATTTGGGCCTAGGCGCGCCATAATAACATTGGGTAATTCTCAAAGTTCACTCTCTCTGTGGCTCAAAACATCGCCATCACAAAGCTCTCCAAAACCCTAGCCCTTATCAGCCACTTCTCTCTCAAAATTAAAACGTGTATGTGAGACATTTTTTTTTTTTTTAAATGAAAGGGGGGGGGGGGGAGGAGGGTGTATCTCCCTTATCCCCCAAAAATCCCCTTCTCACCAACTTCACTCCCTCACCTTGAAACTTTCTTCCTCCTCATCCCCCAATTAAAGGATGAACCTAGCTTTAGAGATAACTTCCCACCCAACAATTTCCCTGTTTCCTGGGATGCAAATTCACTCTCTACTTCTATGCCCTCTCACCTCCACCTCACAATACTCTGTAGCTTGGTCACCTCCCTAGTTCATGCAAACACAAGGATACAAATTTCAAACTATAAATGAACTGGATATTCATAAAAGTCAAGTCATGTATATGAATATCAAAACCCCATACCCTTGTTGACTTTGCAGGAAGATAATATTCGAAATGCAGTATTGGCAGCATCTAGAGGAAGTTTTCTAGAAAGCCACGAATACACCACCCCTTTACAATCACTAAGAGCATCTATACGATTAGGCCCTCCAACTATATTTTCATCACTTATCAGTGATTGTCCTGCCGAAATCTTAAGTGCAGCCTCCATAATTGCAGGCTGACAAATTGGTCTACAGCACTCTTTAAGAGGATCAACACTGCTGCAAGCCTCCAGTAATTTGCTGGCATTAACCGTCTTCTCAAAAGTTGTTACATCCTTCACAGGACAAGATCCACCAGTAAGATTTGATGATTTTACAGAGCAAATGGTAGGTATCGAACTGTTTGCCCTTCTGCTCTCTAGTATACTAATGATATCTGAAAAACAATAATTAGCAGTCACATTTTGTAAAACCAATTTATCAGAACTGGTGCTATAGTATCCCTGGAATATATGGAGTAAACTACTGAGCTGAGGGCAACATATAACATTTCCTATGAAAGCCGCCAGAGGTTGAGAACAATCAGATGCTGTTTTGTCCATGATATCCGAAAGAGCAGAGAAATTTATGGGACACTTTCCTGTCAAGACTGGATCATATGTGGGTGGGAACGCAGGGTACATAGGTGGCAAAGATTCCCCAGGAAAAGGATAATGTGGAATAACAGCAGGTGATATTTCTATCGGTTCAAAGAGTCCACTTTTAGGTGGGATGGCTAACTCAGATGTAGAAGAAATGTGATTCACTGTAGGCTTTATTTCCAGCGCCATTATATCTGGAAAACTGGATAACCAGATGGCGAATAATATGAACCTATGGCAAAGGGAACCTGCAATCAGATACAAACCAGCCTTTAGCATCTGTATGTGATTCAATATAAGAAAACAAAATATGCGCAGGGGGTAATTGTAATTGGCTCTCTCACTTGTTAACAATCTTGGATAAGTCATGTAGCTAACCAACAAGATTGACTATGGTGATAATTTGGGGAGATTTTGATCAACCCAAGTGAGGCAATCTATTTTGGACATTAAGGACAAGTGGGTACATTTGGAGAAATGTTATTGACCCACATGCCACGTCGACGTGGCATGTGGTGCTATATCACTAGGAGATGTCGATGTGGAAATGACGTTGTCATCCACATAGGAGAAGTGAATGTCAATACCCACACCCTCAAGGCAACATAGCCCAGTCTTGCAATTAGATTACATCCATGAATACTGGGATTAGGGAGCTAAGCAAAAGTTACAAGAATATCAATGTCAAAAACTTAATAGATATGCAAGAGTAAGATTTAAGTTATGGGGAAGTCAAACACTACAACAAAGAACTCCTAGCAACAAAGTACAGATTAAGATGAGCCAAGCAAAAGCTTAGTGCCTCTAAAGGCATGCACACTCCATAAAATGAATATGTGCCTCGATAATTTGAGTACAAAATTTGACAATTTAACAACATACTCCTAAGAAAGGGGTGAAGAATTACAAGAACTAGTTTAAAGTTCACTTAATTTTCTTGATCAGAATAGCAATGCTTTGATGAACTTAAACCACAGGTAGAATCATACAATATGCAACTTTACAAAAGAAAAGATGAGGAAAACCCTGGCTAAAGATAATATTTAGTGATTCCAACCAAATGATTTTGCTTGTTAAGTTGTTATACGTCCAGACAAATGGAAGGATCCCAATGACGAGTTCAAGCATTTTAAGAACTTACCATCAAGACGAATAGAAGCCTTTACACAACCCATAGCTCCACTCAACATGGAGATTCATGAAAGCAACCTCTACGTTAGAGGATAAACCCAAAAAGAGTTCACTGCAACAAAACAACACCTGTAACAACTTCGAACATTAGATCCAAACTCAAAAAATTAAATGAAAAAACACCATAGGAAAAGCAACAAATAAAACAAAGGAGACTACTAACTCCTGAAGACAAATGAGTATAGCATGCTTCAGTCTGTTTAGAGCCAGAGCATCATAGTCCCGATAGATAACAAAAAATATCAAGACGGTATTCCTCTTACAAAGTATCATACTAGAAATAAGCTCTATGTATAGTTTTAATATATATTTTTAGTCATGACAAGGGAACATCCAAATGTGAGCATAAACCTTCTTACTATTCATTAACTGGACTACTCAAACAAGTAAAACCCACAAGATCTAGCACTCATCTTACACTTGCATCGTTCCATAGACATTGGGGCTGCACTTTGTTGCATAACTAACTGACTTGCAAATTCGAAAGTTAATACATATGCTGTGTGTGTGACAATCTAACAGTGTTTAAAGATTTTTAAAAAAAATGATTTTCACTTGTATCAATGTCTTTTTCCAATTTCTGACTTCCATATTTAGTTTACTCAAAACAAACCAAGCCTAAAATGATTTTCACTTGGATCGAAGTCTTTTTCCAATTTCCAACAGAAAAAACTACGATTTAGAGCAATTTGAAACCACTATTTTCCCTTTCACTACCATGCTCAATCACAGGAATGCATGCAGAGTTGCATACTTTTGCCAAAGTTCATCAGTAAAAACCACATACAAACATGAAAAGTAAAGATCTTGCAGCCAAGTATAACCCTAGCAGGAGAGAAAGAGAGGCTGAAACTGAAAACTAACATAAAAACAAAAAAAAACAAGAAAGTAAAAAGGAATATTAACCCAAAATAACAAAGATAAAGCTAACAACAACAGATGAATATGTGCCTTTAAAGTTCATCAGTAAAAATCACATACAAACATGAAAAGTAAAGATCTTGCAGCCAAGTATAACCCTAGCAGGAGAGAAAGAGAGGCTGAAACTGAAAACTAACATAAAAACAAAAAAAAACAAGAAAGTAAAAAGGAATATTAACCCAAAATAACAAAGATAAAGCTAACAACAACAGATGAATATGTGCCTTTAAAGTTCATCAGTAAAAATCACATACAAACATGAAAAGTAAAGATCTTGCAGCCAAGTATAACCCTAGCAGGAGAGAAAGAGAGGCTGAAACTGAAAACTAACATAAAAACAAAAAAAAACAAGAAAGTAAAAAGGAATATTAACCCAAAATAACAAAGATAAAGCTAACAACAACAGATGAATATGTGCCTTTAAAGTTCATCAGTAAAAATCACATACAAACATGAAAAGTAAAGATCTTGCAGCCAAGTATAACCCTAGCAGGAGAGAAAGAGAGGCTGAAACTGAAAACTAACATAAAAACAAAAAAAAACAAGAAAGTAAAAAGGAATATTAACCCAAAATAACAAAGATAAAGCTAACAACAACAGATGAATATGTGCCTTTAAAGTTCATCAGTAAAAATCACATACAAACATGAAAAGTAAAGATCTTGCAGCCAAGTATAACCCTAGTTACAGGTCAGTCAGGGGCCATCTATTCTGCCAGTGCTCTCCAGCTGGTTACTAAGCGGGCAGTGTGGTCGGAAAATCACCCACACAAGTTATTTATTCATTTATTTTTGTTGTGTTTTGTTGCACCAACTAAGAAAACTAGTCTTTATTATATTGTTTTCATTGTTTTTTTCCTCACTAGCTTAGATAATGGCTTAGAGAGTTCAGAATTAGGGCTAGAACACTAAAAAATCCCATAACTTCCTCACAAAAATGGGCATTACACCTTAATCCATTCGTACAATCCAACAATAATTTGAAAGCATTAAACCTAAATTTTGATCCATATCAGAATTGGCAAGAATCAATCCAAAAAAAAAAAAAAAATCATTCATATTGAGTATGCTATGATTGAGAATGACACTAAAGGTCTTGTTTGGGAAATAAAGTTTTTAATTATAAAATTAAAATGTTTCTATAAGTTATTAAATTATTTTTTAAAATTTTTAAATTTTTTTGATAAAAAAAATCAAAAAAGAGTAGTACTATTAGCATCCCATGAATTATTTTGGACATTTAATTTCTTTGGATTCCCACTCATAAATTTTAAAACCCTTAAAATTTCTTTCTCTCCCAAATAATACCAAAATTATCCTTAAATATTCTACCCATTAAATGCATACCCTCCACGCTCCCAAAAAAATCTCTCTTCCAAAAAACCCTAAAAAAATCCATTAAGAAGAAAAAAGAGTCTCATCCTTTTTAAAACCCACAAAGAAGAAGAAGAAGAAGAAGAATATTGTCTCTGTCGGTTTAATTATTGTCACAGTTGATATACTCTCTCTCTCTCTCTTTCATTGCTTCTTCAAAACTGAAACTACCAAACTTGAAAAAATAAAATTTCTGCGAGTGTTAAGAATTTTAACCGTTGAAAGTGTTAACAAATTTTCATGTTCAGACCTGCATTCCCGAACAAATAATCTATGCTCGGGAATGTGTTCACGAACAAATAAATAATGTTCGGACCTGTATTTCCAAACTTGAAAAAAATGAAAACTTCTACAAGTGCTAACAATTTTGACCATTCAATATATAAGAAATTTTTATGTTTTGACCCTTCAATGTAGGTAATCATATGGTTGTCACCGTTATCGTCAGAATATTGCCACCAAAGGGTTTTCAAAGTTTTGAGGATAGATAGGTTTTGAAGATGGATATGGGTGGTGATGGAGGTGAGTGATCTCATAAACCTAATTCATGATGTAGTGGACGTGTAGGTTTAATTGGGAGATAGGGTGTCTCAAAATTAATGATATGTTTCGTAATAATTTTATTTGAGATTATCATTGTAATAAAATAAAAATTAAAAATTAAGTGATTCAAAATAATTTATGAGATGCTAATAATAGCAACCTTAAAAAATTATTTTAAAAAAAAATCAATTTGCAGACAAATCTTAAGGTGGAATGGTGAGGAGGACCATTTGACTTTTGTGCCCTTCCCCGAAGATTCTGAGAGGTCAAAGAAAGGTGGTTTTAATTTCAAAGGAACTGTGCATGGGAGGGTGATGATGATGGTGATGATAAGGGCACATGGGAAAATCATATATATAGGTTAATTGTACTTGGTCATTTTGGTCTCTTGCAAAGTCTTGTGTTTGACATACACTGCGAGTCACGGATCTATGTGGAAAAAACCACATAAACAAATCTGATCTTGTGTGTCAGCCTTCATGCATGCATTTTTAACCATGGTTAAAAACTGATCTTGACATTTACAATTAGAGGGAACAAATAGAGATGACAATGACAATTTTGTAACTAGTTATTTTGATTAATATTTTAGTTTTTTAAAAAATAAAATAAAATAAGTTGATTTTTAGTAATGACTTTTTCACTATTTTAAGTCATTTCCAAACTTACATAAAGTCTGTAAGAGTTCAATTCCTATTTGATTAATTAAAATATTGTTTGTAATAAACTTATTATTAAGTAATTCGTTAATAAAAGAACCCTTGAAAATTATAGCAGAAACAAATCTCTAAAAAATATTAAAAAGTCATTAAAAAAATCAATGTCAAACACCCACTAAATTAAGTTTGAATAAATTTTAAAATTAAATTTAATTAACCTATTACTCGACTCAGTTCAATTTACTCTATTAAATTTTGTTTGAAATCGGCTCGAAAAGTAAACAAGTTAAATTTGAATATATCTTGGCACTAGATTTCAAGTCAAGCATAAATAACCTATTTTGACTCAACTAGACTTGTTTACAATTTTAATGTCACATATTAGGGATTGTTTGGGATAATCTAAATAAGTGCACTCTTTGACTTTTTATGAAATATGGGTTGTGTATGGATTGGGTTTGAAGTGATGTGATAGAGAAGTGATGTGATTTAAATAAGATGATGTGACTTAAATAAGATAGTAACTTTTTGACTTTTTTAAGTTATGACAAACAAGGCCTTAATATGTACTTTATAAAAGATTTATTTTAGCTAGTCATTTTAAAAATTGTTACTTCCTGATTTATATTATCTGATGAGATAGGAAAATGGAAGAGAGCAAAGATCCATGGAGAAATTGGAGAGGGAAAAATTGATAATCCAAAATTTCTCCGGGACAAGTTCACATTAGAACAATTCCTATCGAGTAAATCTCATATATCTACAATCTCGATTAATTTTAAAAAACATTGCGATTAGTCACAACTAAACTAAGATATCTAGATTTACAATTCATTCTAAGATTTAATCTTCTTTAATGTTAGAATATCTCTGAATGTTGATTTTTTTTTTTTTTTTTTTTAATGATTAGTTAGCTAGTGTGATGGATAAGAATAAAAAATAACTAGTCTTTTAGAAAATCAATTAGAATTGAAAAATGAGATAAAATTGATTATTTTGATTAATAGTTTTTATTTTGAAGTATTGGGCTTTTAATAATTCAGAGTCACCGCATCATTAATCATTTCATAGTTTTTATTTTGAAGTATTGGGCTTTTAATAATTCAGAGTCACCGCATCATTAATCATTTCAATCAATGACAATCTTTTCTACGAATTTGGAGATCCTATTATGCCTTATCAATGTAGTACATGATAATGGCACGTATTACACCAAAAGGATGGGGCAGTAGGCAGGTATAGATGGGCCTATGTCCACATTTCATATAAGTGGGGGGAAAAGTCAAAATTAGGTGTAGAAAACCAGGGAAGAGGACATCCACTTCAACGTTGTTGACTCCACCAAGATTAATCAAATTTTGATTACTTTGTCAATTTTATTTTTATGGCCTTATTTTTAAAGTTGGTTATTTTAACTGATCGTTTAATTTTGATTATTTTAATTTGACTAATATAGTTATGTTTAAGAAGTTGGCTGGCCCTTTTTATAACGAATTTGATCTTTGTAAGAAAAAAAAAATTTATAAATTGAATGTAATATTTTACTTTATTAATTATTTTAATAAATTTTACATTTTAAAAAATTATTTTAACTCAACTCTCGTTCTAAACACCCCTCTATTTTGTCCTTTTTTGTAATAGAAAAGTGTAATGAAATGATGATCCTCTTTGAAGGAAAACTTGAACCCAATCATACTAAACAAAAAAAATTAATTTTTCTATTTTAGTTCATGAGATTGAATTCTTTTGATCTTTCTGTGTTGTGAATAATAGTATATTTTTCATTATCGCATCCTATATCAATTTAAGTTGACCAAACCATTTTTAACATTCTCTCAAATTATCTTTAAATGGTGTTATACTTATTATTTCACAAATATATTAATTTTTAATTACATTTTTCCTAATATTACAGTACATTCATCTAAGCATTTTTATCTGAATTACATTCATTTTATAAATATGTTATTTCATATTTTTCCAATATTTTGTCCCATAAAATAGCAATGGCTTATTAGTTGTTCTATAATAAAAACATCAAATTTATTAATATTCGTTGATTACATAATATTTCAGAAACATTCCTTCATTAATCAATTTATTTTTGATTCTATGAATCATAAATTATCAAAATTATGAAAGAAAAAGTGAGAAAAGGCAGACAGCATGTTGAACATCTCCTAATTGCGCGCCAGATCGGACTTGCGAAGGTATTAGTTGACATAATATATTCAAAAATGCCCATTTAGTGTAAATTTTTAAACTCTGTTTGGATTATAAATTTATGTAAAAAATTAAAAAAAAAATTAAAAAATGTGAATAAAATATAAAATAATTTTTCTCCATTTCTCTTATATTTATATTTTTCTTTCTAAATTCTTATCAAGGTGGCAAGTTCAATGCTTGGAATGTTAGAATAAGAAATATGCCATCATTAGCTAAGTCCAGTTCATTTCCAGGCTTCTAATAGTGACAGACAGCCATCCGTAATTCCAGTTCATTGCCAGGTTTCAGAAAGTGCCCCACTTTCAGACTTTTCATAAGGGGTTTCAAGACACTGCTTTGTTTTCTTGTTTTTGTTTTGTTACAATCACTAAGAAGAGAATAAAGAAAGGAAAATTTACATCTGGCAAAGAAAAGATGATGCTAGAATCCAGACATCACCCCCATAAAAGACTTTTTCGTGTAACTTCAACCAAGTTAAAAGCTCGTAACCAAAAACAGAAGTACAAATCTCGCTTTCCCACATTCTCAAAATATATATATAGAACTTATTTAAGTTATTTATGTATCATAAGCTATAAACAAAAACCACACCAAACATTCTGAAATAAATTTCCAAAATAAATAAAAGCTTTAGCATGCGCATAAAAGTTTCATTTCTTAAAAGAAAAGACAATAGAGAGGGAAGGGGGCACTAGTATTTTGACATTGTAACGTGCTAAAATATAACATTTGCACGATCTGCTAGAAATGTAACTATGAAAACACAGGAAACAAACTTATTTGTCCAAGCTATGAATTGTTATAAAGGCCCGATGTGATTCAAGGGAAGCTAAGATCAATTAACAACCACAATAAGCATTTAGTCATCCTATATCTTGGGTGTAAAACCCACATAAAACGCGGATTCACTAGAGCGATAATGGCACAGGAAATCAACCACATCTCCTTCGATGCCCTTGTATTTACCTCGACTTCTTGCTACGCTTTCCCATTCGTGATTTAGCATACCTGAATTGCTCATTAAGCAAAAACTTGGATGACACAATCAATAGAACCATGGAAGGAAAGGAGAATAAAAAATAATTAAAAAAGAAGCAGCTTAGTGTGTTTCTGAAGGATACTCCAACCGCATGGCCTCACCAGGTAGCGATGAGTACAGAATTGTGCCTTGAAGATGATTCCGTGCTTCGGTTGAACAGGCAGTATCCTGCACATAAAGTGGCATGTAAAACTAATAATAACTTCCCTGTGGATCATACAACATAAAATCAACAGAACAAATATAAAGTATTTAATGCCTTTTGCCTGTGCTGCATGCAGAAAGTTGTGACTGCACCATCATGTTGAAGGAAAATTAATTCCCGTGAATCTGTGATACTATAATCAATTTTCATATATATTTTTTTTTCCTCCCTGGAAAGTGGGCTCGATTACACTGGCCAAGTTTATCATATGTAGAGCATCAATTCTTTCTTTATTTCATTTTCTAGTTTTAAATTCAAGAGACAGAAAGAGAGAAATAGGAAGGGGAAAAAAGAAAAACATAGTATTATAACATGCTTTGGCAATAAAAGACTGGTGATCAAGAAATGATTGGAAAAACAAGCTTAACTCTAGAACCAGGACCATTAACAAATCTATGAACGCAAATAAAAATCGAGGAGAATATAAAAGAAGCCCTAGATGGAAGAATTGTAAACATAAAGGCTCACTTCTTTAATAAACACGTCATATTCTGGTAAATGAAGACATCCTGATTGCCTATTGAGCTCATAACAAAACCAATACATTTACATAGAATCAGACCAGCTAGAGCCAGAGCTTTAAAACTCAACCCCAAATAATTAAGAACCACCACATACTCGTATCAGGAAGTTTCAATTCACATTGGGTCAGATAATCAGCAAAATCAAGAAGAGAAACATATATATATATATATACTAGTTTCAAAAGGCCCGTATTATTACAGTATATTTATGTTTTATATTTTGATAATTTTTTTAAAAATAAAATATTGTTTTATGAAATTGAATAAAACAAATCATTAGATCTATGATAGAATTATGTGGTATGATATGTATCATTTTTTGTTTTGTCATACACCCAATGAAATAGACTCCAATTCTATTACCATATCATTTTGGATGAATTTATGAGTCTTTAATATTTCTTCCAAATTTAAAAAATAAAATAAAATGGTATGTAACTTTTCTCAACAGATAAATATAAAACAAATACTAAGATAATTCTCTCATGTTAAAAAAACTATTAAGATAATTCACTGAATTAATAAAGAAGCAAAAAAAAATACATATATATACAAATGATTAATTTTATTAATACATAAATTATACTCGCATAACAAATGATCAATTTTATTAAAAAGTAAATCATTAAGTAAATTAACAATTTTTAATGGTATGAAAAATACTTTTCAGTAAACCATTTTGTTAATAAATAAATCATAAGTCAATTAATAGTTTTTAACGATATAAGAAATATTTTTCAAGAAACAATTTTGATAATTTATTATTGCATAGGATAATTTTTTTTTTCCCTGAGTATTGTGTTAAATTAAAATTTATAACAAACGATAGTTATAATTTCTAGTATTATAAGACTGATTCATATTTTAAACAAACCTTGTGGGTATATTTGTAATTTCTTAAAAAATAAAATATTTATATTTCATAATTGACCAAGAATATTTGTAATTACGAAAAAACCTTCACTCAACATATAGTTAACTATTAGTAAATTATTCAAAATGAAAGGGCAAAATCAAAAAGAAAAGACAAACCTCAAGCAACTAAGCGGTTCTTATATATATAGATTTATATATATATATATGACCCCAATGGAAGATTAATCAGAACAGGTAAACATTTGAATGAAGGCATTAAGCACATTGCTTCAAGTTGTCTGTTATTAAGGAAATGTTGTGACATGGGGGGACATTGATGATCTCACACTATTTCAGCCTATTTTTGTGATATATTTCAGCATCTAAGAACAGTAGGTAGAAACTGACACTCTCATCCAAACATATGCTAAGGGAACGCAAATAGAAAAGATGGCAACCGAACATATGGGTTGCAGCTGTATGAGAGTAATATACCAGCAAAATGGTGGCGAGAGAGCAGTTATCCTAAGACCACCAGCTATTGCGTCAGATGTACATAGATCAGCAAAATGGTGAGGGAGCATTTATCCTAAAACCACCAGCTATTAGCTTGATTATCATCTCCTCCCACCCCCAAAGGAGAGACGGAGGATTAAGTCTGAATTTGGGCATGGGTGTGCACCTTTTTTGTTGTTAAATGACATGGATGAAGCCTTATCGGGTAAGAAAAATAAAGGAAAAGAAAATCAGTCAAGGCAGACCAAATCTTATCTCAAAATTTCACTCATGAAGAAACTTTCAGTTCAAACTCACCTCTAGCACTGAGAATCAGCCGTTCAATGCCCTAATCATTTTCCTAACTAGGCCTTACTGAGGAGGACCATCAGCGCACAAAGATTATAACATACATCAATTTCAGAAATGCCTCAAAAAGAAAATAATTTGTGTTGATCACTAAACTGAGATATGGAAGTAAACGACAAGGAAATACCAAGTTACATGGTTAAATTTTATGAAAGAAAAAATTCTACACTTCTTTTTTGAACAAATTAGTTCAATTATGGCAATAAAGCACCTGAAAGTCGACAAAGGCAACCGGAGTTCCATATGTGCTCTGCATCTTCAATTTCAGAAATCCAGGGCAACTGAGAAAGGACAAAAACAAACAAAATAAATTAAGCTCTACAAGCTTCACAGATTAGGAAAACAAAGAAAAAAAATAATTGCTCCAAACCTTGAAAATACTTGAATTAGCTCTTCCTCTGAACAAGATGGCCCCAAATTAGCCACAAATAGTGTTGGACATGGGGTAACATTTTGTGGACCATGAGGTGCTGAAGAGTTGTGCTGCTAAGGTAGGAAAAATCCCCAGAAGTTAACTCTTCATAAATAAAATAAAATGGCGAATAAAGATTCAAGCAAGCATTATTATTTTACTTAAGGAGGAAATGGTGGAAGACAGTTCATAATATAGATATTCATACTTTGAAGAGCGACTCATCCAATTTCTCTTTAGGAGCATAATGAAATGGAATGAGAAATTTATAGAAGCCGAAATTTAATATTACCAAATATAAATCCAAAAGTAAAACCTTACCAGTTTTGCAGTGGTCTCATTCACAGCCCTACCATCAAAGTTCACATGACTGAAACATCAAAAGAAAAAAATGAAAAAATAGACAAGGTTTCATAGAATTGTTCTATCATAAGGCTGATAGTGTCCTCCAACTGCAGGGAATAGGGCCTGTAATAAACTGCTTTTACTAGCCCTTGACCTATCAGCTAGAAACAATTATTTCAAATAAGAAAATGTGGTTATTCAGCTAGAGTAGTCATTTCCAAGTAATAAAAATGTGCTTTAAGTAGTACAGATGACCTTTGTGTAGGTGGATAACCAATTGTGTTGTAAGCAGAATTACCAATTCCAGGCATGTGAACGCTGCCAACACCTGCTAGTGCCCAAGCGTGCAAAAAATGTGCAATGTGAGCTTTTAGAATAATGTGTCTCCAAGTGACTAACTAACTAGTATTCCAAGCAACATATCAGACAAGCACCCATGACAACATCCAGAAATTAAGCAAATGGTGAGAGAGGGGCTCTGAGGAGGGGACATAGAGATCAACCTCATTCGATTTAAATAATTCAGTAAAAGTGATAAAATAAATAAATAAAAGAACAACTGTTTAGACAAAGAGCTCCTAATGGAAACACTCAATTGTCCATATTGTTCTGCACAGTTCAGGGTAACCATCTTACCAGTATCAAGAGTGGCCCTTGAAAATGCAGCAGATCCTTTAATTCTCTTCTCCAATCCAGGTTTTTCATCATCTAATCAACAAGTTCAAACAATTCAGTTCTGCAACATTAAATCGAAAGTAGAACATAAGCAGCAGGAATACTGGTGAGGAAACATACCAAATCTTGAGCGCTTAGATCTCGAGTTAGATTTCGCAAGATCAATATATAAGGTGGACCCCTTCTCAAGGTCAAACACCATTCCCTGCAGAAAAACATTTGTAATCAAAAGATTTTAATGTGTGGATTCTATTCCATGTACAAAGTTTTACAGCATGACAGCACCATAACATCTCTACATAAAAACCTGTAACACTATCAAAAGTTATCTGGTGTTTCCCTTCTGGATGGAGCAGCCAAATCAAAAATATTTTTCTCACAAGTCCCTAAAGCAAATGCAAATTATATGACGAAATGACTAATACTGGCTATCAATTGATGATATTATCATTGAAATCCACAGAATGCATTCAGAATTTACTTATACTTGTCCATGAGCTTCCCCAGTTTTTGTGTTCTTAAACAGAGTTATAAGGGTACCCAAGGTGTTTTGTACCTATCATGATTCAGTAGATAAGAACACAACCTGATATACTGGCTATACATAGGATATCACCAATATGTGATCACTATTTTCATTCAAGCAAGTCTATTCAGAGCCCTCCAAGGCTTCAATTTGTATTTTCCTTAGGTCTTCATTGATTCATTTTTTTATCTTCAGGCCTTTTCTCACAATTAGGAGTGGTTTTTTTTTTTTGTGTGTGTGATATTAAATTAGTTTTAGTTTTTGTTAAATTTTTTCTTGTTTTTTAGATGGTGGAAGTAGCTTTTGTTAATTTTGATTGTTTGTAGATATAATATTAATCTACATAGCAAATATATATATATATATTTGGTTGTATCCCTGCCATATCTATGTCTCCATTATTTTTGAAATTACCATGTCCCATGTCCGTGTCTATACTTCTTAGATAAGAACTCTTCATGATATATGATCCCAGTGGAGGGCAACTTTCATTATAATAACTCTTCAAATGATTCAATTCCCCAAGAACCATCACACATTATTTTCTACTGTTGATAATAGGGCACTAAATAACCATGTACAGATTGCCAACCAATAAATAAAAATGTGAGCAAAATGTTCTTACATTCAGTGCTTGCATTGCTGCAATAGCTGACTGTTGATCCATGAATACAGCAAAAGCAAATGGCTGTGAACACCCAAGAGCATGTTAGAGATCAGCAACTCATGTGCAAAATGGGATATACAAATGTATATTACTCACAATTATGGCATAAGCTTTACTCAAAAACATGAAGAAAATCATGAATAAAAATTATCCCTAAATCATGGTTCACTATGGAGCACTTCACATAAAGCTCAATATCACTAAAATCCACTTAAAACCTCATAGAGAAAGGGAGCACAACATTAATATTGACTTTAAGGGTTAAGTCTATCAAACGAAAAGGTTTTATCATTTTAAAAGAGCATGTCCCAGTAAAAAAAATAAGTATTTCCACAAATCTATTTTTATAAACCAACCTTGAGCCATTGCTTCCAAAAGCTTCAACTCACTTCTTAGCCAGAGATGAGCCTTCAATAAAAATTGTCATAATTATAGCTCTCATGGAATTTACTCAAATCCCCATAGGAAGCAAAGGAATTAGGACAAGATGATAATACATGACAGGACCCAATCTAAAACGTGTGAGGGAAAGCAATAAAAGGGGTTGGATTATAGTCCTAATTCCTTCAGCTGATGGCTAATCAATTAATCCTGGCACCTCAAAAGGGGGAGGTTCAAAAGTCAAGCACTAGTGGGAACACGTGCATGCATGTCTTGCTTATTAGATAGTAAATAAATATTTCTCTGTGGTTTAAAGCTTTGAATACTTCATGAAAATCAAAATAACCCATTGCATGTTAAAACTACACTTAAAATTAGCCAAAACTGATATATCTTAATGATGCTAGCACTAGCCACAGCAAGAAGATAAAGAAAACAAGTCTGTCAGCTGAAAGCCCTTTTACGATCCCATTTGCAGCAATAATTCCATTCTAGATCGATTTCCTCCGTATGCCATGCAGCCACCAACATATACATTCTATTACCTCTGTAATATATTTATACATATTTAGTACGGAATGCATCGCCCCCCTTTACAATTTCAATAAAAATTCCTTTTAAACATGCTTCTTTATATAATTTTAATCTTATTTTTCATTTTTTATGGCAATAAAAATCGATACTTTTCCTTTTGAATTTTTTCTTAGTATGTATATATATATACATAGATATAGATATATCCGGCCCTATGTTAGAATCCTAGGTCTGTCCCAGGGACATCCAACATGAACGAGTCAATTGATGGCTTTAACGACTTGAAGCAATTTTTTTTCCTTCTAAAAATCAATTCAAAGTTAATAAATGGAAACTGATGCAGTACTCATATAAAAAATAAAAATAAAAATAAAAAATCGAAAGAAGAGAAGTACCTGTGAAGTAGAAGAAGGGCTACGGAGGTGAGAAGATTCGTAGCCAGGGAACTCACGAAAGAGGTTGTAGATTTCGCGAGTCTTGACGTCTTCGGGAAGGCCAGCGATGAAGAGTGTGCGGACCTGGTCGTGAGAGGAATGTGGATATGGTGGAGGAGCGTAGGAGGCGATTGGAGGAGGAGGTTGGTGGTGAGGGTAGAATTGTTGCTGGGTCAGGTGGTGGTGGTGATGGGGGGGTAATTGATGAGGCACCGCCGGCAGAGGGGGTTGCGCCGCCCCGAGCGGTGGCGGAGGAGGTTGGTAGTATGGGTATTGAGGAGGGTAGTAAGCTGCCATGTCGTCCATGAATGATCCCCCAACGAGATCGCCTCTGTCGAGCCCTAACCAGTTTTTGCCTCCATTTTTACGCACTCTTCTTTTTTAACACACTGTTGCTATATTGGGTGTTTGGCAAGTTGGATTTTTTTATTTTTTATTTTTTATTTTTTTGGTTAAAATTCACAAAAAATAAATAAATAAATCAATAAAATAAGTTAAAGTAATTAATAAAATAAAATGACACATTAAATTCATAACCATTTCACTTTTTCTTTCACAATATCATATCTATCTAACTACAAAAAAATCTAACTATCTTTCAAAACATAAAAATTTTAACTTACTAAAATAGGTAAAAACTAAAATAGCCTACTAAGAACATCCCAGCAATTTACTTAAATTTTATCCTAAAATATTATTAAAAAAATCATTTCATATTTTAGGAATCTTTTTTCCGTTTATTTTTCCCATCAAACTCTTTAATCTTTTTTCTATTCTATTAAAATAAAATGTTTAATTATTTTTAAATTTAAATATTTTTTTAATAATAAAATAATAAAAAGCCAACCAAACGCTAGCAGCACTGTAGCGCAGTAGAGGAAAACAAATAACGGAGGTCGACTAGGCGGTCGACCGGCTAGGTAATTTCTTGGCATTTTTTTTCTTCAACTACAAGGCACTTACGAACATCCAGGGGACTTTCCCTTCATGCCTCAACAAAATAAAATAAGAATTTATCATATATAAATGAGCTAATAGGGAGTCATTATAACAAAAATTAGTTTAAAGAATTGTTTAGGAGAGCCGCGGGAGATGTATAAAGTGATTTCAATCCTTTAAAATAGACAAGGGGTGGGTTTAAGGGAATTGTTGAGGATGATCTAAAATAACAACTTACCAAACACGGTATTCAATGATTTTTTTTTCTCTCTCTCTGTGTGGCATGCGTTTTGGGCATGTATTTGAAATCCAAGGACTAACCTAGTTTAAATACGATCGGATCGAATTACCCTATTTTCGGAAGTGATTAAAAGCCAACTTTTTAACTTTTAACCCATTTTAAATCATATTATTTCTCTATTTTTTATATTTTCTTTTAAAAAGAATTAAAAAATTAACTTTTAACTTTCTAACCGCTATTGTGACGTTAAAACCAACGCCTGTCTTGGTTTTATTTTGGCTTTTTATTTCGTATATCCTCAAATTTTCCTATAAATATTCAATTCCCTTCATCTTCTCACAAATTCCAACTCTCTTAAAATTTATTTTTCACTAAGATTGTAAAGGAGCTGAGTAGTAAATTATTTAAATTTTAACTTCAAATTTGAAAAAATTTCAATATATGTTTAAATTTAATAATTCTTTACTTTTTGAGCCAATATTATTGATTATTTGAACAAACCTTCAGCTTTCTTCAGATTGACTTATGTTATTTCAAACAAATTTCTTATGAATCAGGGATTATTTGAGATGACCTAAATAAGTACACTTTTTATCTTTTTACGAAAAGATGTACAAAACAATAGAGAGATGGTGTAATAAAAAAATAAAAAGATAAATTATTTTGATGTTGCCAAACTTGACCTCAATGTTGCTACTTTTCTCCCATCTTTATCGTGGATTGCCTGCTAGCAAAACCACCCATCTGAGTCGTCATTAATGATCCTTAAGGTGTATTCTCAAAAGATCATTAAGGTGTATTCTCAAAATACCTATATATTTACAGTTGTGACAATAGGAGCCTGATTTGGTAATACATCAATTTTCCTATTATTAGTAGATACAATGATTTCTTTCACTTCAAAATCCCAAAATCAAGTTGAGAACCAAGAGGAATCAATTGTTGCTGGGTTATTTTGATTTTCAAAAATCAAGGTGCTCGACAAACAAGGAAAGACTAGTTATGTGCAAGTCATGACCATTCAAACAAGAAATGAAGAATCCACCAACTAAATGAGAATTAAAGAGAAGTCTTCCTTTTCCTGCATTTCAAGAAATTCCAGAAAGCACCCCTGTAAAAGTGCACTTATTCCACTAACCTCACCGTTGGTCTCTCAATGAAGAGATCCTCAACGACAACCACAATCCCAAACCCAATCCTTCCTAACCACCACATGGTTCAAAGGCACCTCATTGACAGCTTAACAAAATCATCTAGTAAAAAAGTTGCCAAAAAAGACATTTGGTTCTAACAAAACAACCATAAAAAGAACAGGTGGGGAAGCAAGCACTACAAAAACTTTAAATTTCTAAGCTTCAAAAGCAGGTACACTAAGCACGAAACTAACTGGATATGTTATTGCACAAATCCAAGGTGCCTGAACCAGAACTTAGATATGCACACATGTACACATGCGTATATGTATTATAAATGAATGTTCTTTAAGATGGTTTATCCATCATTCCGATATTATTTAACCATTGGCAGTGTAGCAGCTTTGCTTGTTCTTGATCCTTTTGAGAGATCACACATGTTAAACACAAATCACAGTATAAATAGCTGATGATGTAAAATGGAGATCAAGTTCAATACTAAAACAAACACCAATGAGCATCATTGGCCGGTTCTACTGTTATATACCAACAAAAGTTAAATTCAAATCGAGAAAACAAAGGCAGTTCAACCATGCAGTTTACATTGAGTCGACCAGATGGTTCCCAAGTATCAACAACCTTTAGCAAAACCAGATTCAGTATTTAGACAAGAGACGGGTATTGCTTGGCCTGCTGTCGGACACGTCTCTTGTACTCCACAGCATCCTGCATAAGATTTTGCACAACTTAGCAAGAAATAATATCAACTCACAACCTAGCCTCCCATATCAACTCAAGAATTAGGCCAATATTTGACATACTTTAACCTTTTCCTAGAATGGAAAATGTATGAGCAAATCTTTCGCCCTAAACTCATCCAACAATGCAAATTCCTTGAACATTTGCTTCTTAAATAGGAGCAACCCCTTGGTGGGTCCTCATTCTTAAATTAATCAAGCTGCATGCTGTAGATTCAAATCTTGCCACAACAAACACCTAGGACTTTGCCATCTTTCCACTGAACATGCACTTTCTCGGTATTTCATTCATTTTTCATCCAGGACAAAAACGACAAAGCCCTTCCACATCTTGATGTACTACAACATGATTATAAGATGACAACACAAAACCCTTCCCCAAACATAGTTGATTTTGAAGAGAAATTACAGAAATGCCAAGGGTGCTCAGGTTTTATTATTTCTAAGAGAAGCAGAACTACCTGGATGAAGAGATGGTATCCTTCAGTCTGTGCAGGATCAGCAGGGTTGGGTTGGTCCAACAAGTCCTGGATGCCAACAAGAATTTGTTTCACTGTAATCGCTGGTCTCCATCCCTAGATACAACAAAAATACACCAAATAATCAGGGGCTCCACATATTTGGCCAGCATGTGTTAGAAAGATGCAGGGAGTACTTACACTATCTTCGTTGAGGATCGACAGGCAAACAGTTCCAGAGGGGTAGACATTAGGGTGGAAGAAACCCTGGGGAAATTTACACTTTGGTGGTTTGCTAGGGTAGTCTTCACTAAAGTGGAGTGTAAGTGGGTAGTAACCCCCCTCCCAGTCAGTCTGCAACAGTTATAAATTATCAATTGTCCACAATGCAATTCAAACAACAATGAAAAACATGGTAATAATTCAAGAGAAGATGTTTTTAGTTCCTTTTACTGGTTCTCTCTCTCTCTCCCTCTCTCTCTCTCTCCCTCTCTCTCTCTCTCTCTCTCTCTCTCTCTCTCTCTCGTTTTGAATAAGCACATAAAAACTTCAGATATCAAAGACAAAGAAATAGAAAAGAGAAGGCATGGAACCATGAATAAACTTGCTGAACAAAGTTTATCTTGAATATAACCTGTACACACAATAAACTGTAAATCAACAACCAAACAATTGCAAAAAGAAGAGTAATATATTACATATAATACGATGACGGAGTACAAAATATTGTCTGAATTCCTCCATTATTTGTGATACTTGTTCTCAATCTAAATTAAACCCTCTGAGCTACTAATGCAAAGAGAATGCTATAGTCCAAGACTCAAACTCACAAAAAAAAAGAGACTAAAAGTTCAACTGGTGGGTGTATTCAAAGTTCAAACATAAGACGTATAAAGGACCATTATGATCCCTAAAACAAAAATGTATGACTAAATAAATGTGGATTGCAAAATCATCCCATCACAATTATCGAGAATATTTGGGCAAATGTTAGGTAGAAGAACAAACCACACAAAAACATAGGTTAGCATTCACAATAACTAAATCATAAAACACAAAGGATTTTTTTTTTTTTTAAATAAAAAGAATCATTCTTACAAAAGTTTCCACTAACCTGGTATCTCTGAAAATACACATGAATTCTTTAATTAACTTTTTCTTTGTTGGAGTGAAAAAAGCACCTAATAAGGGGCGTCAAGAAGACTTGACCCAAGTACATAGACAGTACATAAGAACATCTCTTTATCTTCTTCATTTGCACTGCATAATTCTTTTAGAACCCACAACCAGACCTTGCTAGCCTAGATTCTAGCTTTAAAAAACATCTTTATCAAACCTTTTGCATCGTCTATTCTAGAACCATGAAACAACAAAACCAACCAAAGTGACCATTCACACACCTCAAACAACCCCAAATTCTGCACACGTTGGACAATTTTCCTACTTTACATGCCCCTTGTCATTAAAAATCTCCAAATAAAACAATATTACTCAATTTCAATATTTAACATCCATAAAAACCAAATAATGTCAAACTATCTCATATGACTTTCAAACATTTTTTTATCATTCCACGCTACTGCTATATTCAAACAAATGCATCCATATCTTTTCTTTTAATAACAACAAAACATTTTCCATTTCCCTACCAATAATTGAACCACCTTTGGTATGGCATGGAAGGAATACCATTGAAGACAACAGTTGGTAATACCAATGCATTTATATCTAATTCTGTTCTTCCTCAGCAAGACAGACAGGTCCATCTCAGAACCCTCATTCATAATATTCAATTATGATTTTATAATAAACATGAGGTCTCTTAGCACCTTACAAGCTTTTATGACAAAAATATGACTGCTTTCATAGCTTCCTTTCCTGTTCAATTCAGTAAACATGTATTCATCACTTCACTTTAACATTTATACACTGTCTAGACAAATCTCCAAAATCAGTCAATTTCATTCATCCTACTCGAAATTTTTAGTCAATGCCAACTTGTACAAACTTATCAGAAAAAAGTTGTGGTTTTCTTAAGAATCTTCTCCTTTTACTTTGTTGCAATTGCAATGATAAATCTAAAGTATTCACTCTACATGCAAATAAGGATGCAAATTGGTTTGGACCACCCCCTCTATATAAGCACCATAGTTGACTCTCTATATCTCTCTCTCTCAAATAACGTATGCATACTTTTTCCCTTTTTCGGGTCTCCAGAAGTCCTTTTTAGTGCAAGATTTAGTGATTCAGTGAATTCCATAGACAAAACATGTGTTGGTGTTTAAGTTAGGTGTCTAGGTGTGTCTTAGTACTAAAGATTGAAGATGATAACCAAGACAATGCATGCTCCGAGCTTCCGATCCAATCTTAGGTATAATTAACATCATGAGAATATTGCATTAAATTAGGTCACTTGGTTTCTGAAACAAGTTGTGAATGACCAAAACATCAAAACGCTTACATTCGAGCTCCAATCTTGGGTATAATTACATGAGCATATTACATTAGTTTAGGACACTCAGTTTTTGAAACGAGCTGTGAATGACCAGAACATCAAAACCCCTACATCTCAATATCATATGCCTAACTCTTTTACAGGGTTAGTCAATTTCATATTATACGGGGTTTGACATTAACTTGACCTGTTTATTTATTGTGTCATCGTGTTGTGTCATAATTGGGTTCATGTCAAAAAATAATCAATCTTTCGTATACGGTTTGTGTCGCATCATAAACTCCCACCCTTACTAACCACCTTTGCAAACGTCATATAGTTCATCCAATCACCAAAAATTTAAAACCTAAATAGGAAAGGCTCATGCCATCTGGCCCTCATGTAGCAAGAGCCAGGCCTTGTTCAGTATTTATTCCACTAAATTTTCCCATTATTGCTGAAATAGACATTTGTAAACCCCTATAAATATAAAAAAGTAAATTGTGAAAATAGAGGCTCATTCAATCTATCCAACGAATTAATTAGTATGCAGTGAATTCATCTTTCTGCATTATAACTCCTTTACTATAACACGGCACCTATTGGATACATCGGAAATTAACAAAAATATTTATTTGGCAAATAGCATTCAGTGATAAACAATGCACAAAGGTGCAAAAAATTCATTATGGAGAGTTAAATTGTTCTTAAACTGTAACTAGTCATCACAAATTAAGTTCAAATGGTCAGCCTTACATTCCACATCCACACCACGACAAGTTCATATTCCACCATAATATTGATTAAACTAGTTAAACATTGCACAAATGAGTCTCTAATAGTTTGAACTTCATACCACCCGAGATGCAGCAACATTCAATGTCTACATCAAAAATGAGATGGCATCTCATGGTGAAGGTAAAAATTTATTTAAAATTTCAAAGGGGGTCATGGCTTTGCAATAATCACGTAAGGTTGCTCAGTTATTAAAATCACGCCAAACACGCTTATTCTCCCACTTTAACCCTAGAGTCCTAATTCAGTATCAAAGCCAAGTAATTCAACTAAACAACTAGTAACATGTACAAATGGATCATAAACCACCTAGATTAGTAAAAATAAATTCATAACAAACACAAGGAAGAAAAAAACAGATAGCAAAAGTAAAAATTAACAACAACGAAATTGAAAGAATAGAAAGCAAAATCACATAGCGTGGCGATGTAGAAGACGACGATCACTTACCCCTGCCTTACCGGGGATAGTACACTGCCACACCATCAGATTCACCGAACCATCAAGGAGAGTCTCCGGCTTAGCAACGAAACCCTAGTCAAAATAATTGAACACGACACATCAATCGCACACAAAAAACAACAAATTGAACGAAAAATTAGAACATAAAGTAGGTGATAGAACATCAAAACACATATACATATAGTAATTTGACAAGTGATCTATATATATATATATATATGAACATATATGCATAGATAGTGTGGGGATCGAACATGGGGGTGATTCTTCCGCCAGGCTTTTCGTTCCTCTGCGAGACGACCACGAGCAATACCTCCCGACATTTCTCTGTTTCTCTCTCTACCTCTCTCTCTCTGCAAATTTTTTTTTTTTTTTTGGGGTGATGAGCAGCTTTCGTCTTCTTCAGTTGCGCATTTATAAAGACTCGTCCTTTGGGCAGAGTAGAGCATGAGATGAAATTCCAGGGTATTGGCGAATGTACGGTCCAGATTTCATCGAAGACGACCGCGGGGGAGTAACCAATGGGCTTTGACGCCGTTGTTTCGTTTTTGTAAAATTCGGCCTCATATTAATCAATTAATGTATTGATTAATGCAGTAATTAGTATATGACATAATTTAAATTTTTTTTAATATTTATCATTTATATAATAAATGAAATTAATAATAATATAATCATTAATATTAATAACACTACAGTTTTGCTTTGACGCCGTTGTTTCGTTTTTGTAAAATTCGGCCTCATATTAATCAATTAATGTATTGATTAATGCAGTAATTAGTATATGACATAATTTAAATTTTTTTTAATATTTATCATTTATATAATAAATTTCGAGCTCTCAAACATTATCCTTAATATTAATAACACTACAGTTTTGCCAGAGGCTTATTGTATAATTTCCCAATAAATGGTCAATGAATGTGAATCCACACTTTTCCAATCTGGCGTGAAAACCACGCCACTGTGAGCGCTTACGTCACTCACGTTTGGAACGTTGCGTCGTGTCCCTGGCTTGTTGATGGGCCGTATTTTTCTCCTGTGGATCGATTTGTCATACAGATTTTATAGAAGTGCAGTGAATTTAGCCCATTACTCAACCGGCCCATTAAAACATTGTCACGTGATCCGCTTACGCTTATGCAGCAGGGAGCTTGGGCCAACCACTTTATTCGTTTTCTTCCCTTCGCTCTGCCAATACAAGCTTTCATACTGAGAGACTGAGGGTGTGATTGGTTTAGTTTTGGATGAAAAAAATTTTAGTGTTCAGAAATTTTTTTAGGGTTGGTTTGGGAAGTGGATTACCTTTTTGACTTTTTTGATTATTTTAGCATGTGCTAAAAAACTTGATTTTGGAAGGATTTTTTGACTTTTTTAACTTTTTTTGTGAGAGAACAGTGTAATGATTATGGGTTGGATGTGATGTTTTATTTTTTGTGACTAAAATAGCCTATTTTGTCTTTTGTGGCTAAAATAGCCAAAAAGCCCCATATTCTTCTTTCCAAACAGTGCCTTAGGGTTGGTTTGGGATGTTCTAAAAAAGTACACTTATTGACTTATATGGGTTGGGTTTGGATTGGGTTTGATGTGATGTGTTAGAGAGGTGATATGATTTAAATAAGATGATGTGACTTAAATAGGATAGTGACTTATTTAGGTCATGCCAAACTTGGCCTTAGTTTGTTTGATTATATGTTTTGAAAATGGTTTTGAAATATGAGAGTTTGGGATGATTTGATATTTTGTTGTACTTGAGTAGATGTATGTGAAAGAAAAATTGATTGACAAGGAGAGAGGAGAAATAAAAAGTGATTGATTGATATGTAGGAAAGAGAAAATAATTTTAGAAAAAAAAATTCAAAATCACAAAATCAAACAAAATTTTGAAAAAATATCTTCAAAGTTACTCTAAAAAACAAACCAAACAAGGCCCGAGAGTCTGAGACTGGTATTTTATTTTATTTTTTTATCTTATTTTTAAATTTAAATCTGAATTTAATCATTATTATGTTTGGATTAATAGGGTTAACACGGTTTCATTTCGATTATTGTTTTATTATAATTGTCTTAATTTTTTATAAATTATATATATAAACATAATTATTTAAATTATCCAACGAGAACTTGTTTGTGATAATCCTTACAAACTCAAACATAATGGTCAAATTTTTTAAATTTAAATTTGAGATTTTTTTTTTTTTTTATTTTTGTTTATCGCCGCCTTGAATAAAAGTTGCTTTTAACGTGATCAGTGGTGAAGGTCATCATCATGGTCAGTGTTTCGAGGAAAGGCATGAAAGGTGTACTTGTTGCGGTACAGGTAAACCCCCCACAACACAACTTTACACTAAAAACCACTTTTCAAATCAAATTTTTTAATTCAAGTTAAAATAATTAAAAAAAATTAAATAGTTAAAAAGTTGATTCACTTTTCAAATCAAGGGGTTGTTTGGCATAGACTATATAATCTATCTTTTTATCTTTTTTTCATCACATCACCTCTTTACTTTTCTGCACATCTTTTCGTAAAAAGACAAAAAATACACTTTTTTAGGACACCCCAAATCAACCCTAACTTTAAAAGGGTTTTGAGAAAATAATTAAAAGATATTTTTTTTTATATTTTTAAACTTTTTTTTTTAGAGAGAAGTGGATTAAAAATAAGCCTTAACCACACAAATTTACACTTACCGTTTGGGAAGATGGATTTGGGAATTTTTGACTATTTTAGTTATAAAAGACCAAATAAACTATTTTGGTCACAAAAATAAAATATTACATCTAATTCATAATTATTAAACTATTCTCCTATAAAAAAGTCAAAAAAGTTAAAAAGCTAAAAAAGTTCTTCACAAACCAAACTTTTTAACCCAAGTTAAAATAGTCAAAATAGTCAAAAGTCAAAAAGTCAACCCACTTTCCAAACGAATTAGATTATTGGGATTTGACTATTTTAATTAATTTTTTAAAATTTTTATAAAATAATATTAAAAAAATAAATAAAAGTGATATAATAATTTATAGTAATTTTTAATAACTTCACTATTTTAATTAAATTCCAAAAGAGGCCTGAAGGCTATCCCTTGATGCGTTGGAGTTTTTTTGTCCAATTCTACTCGTGATTAAAACAAAGGGCACTGAACGACTCCAATTGAGCTAGCTGGTATGTGATGGTATAATAAGAGGAACGTATGAATCTAAAAATAATAATAACAAGATGACCACACCTATATATATTTACAATTCATTTCCAATGTACCAAAAATATATATATATTTACAATGGGTTCTGTTAAGAAGAAGAAATGTCAAAATATTTATAATTGTACAGTTTTAATATATATCAAAATGCTTTTTACATATACATTTTTTTACACATTTTGGCCCCGTTTGTTTCCAGAGATGGAATAGAGGGGATTGATAGTGAGGGGATTAATAGTGAGGGGATTGTTAGTGAGGGTCGTTTGTTTTCAGAGATAGAATGGAGAGGATTGATAGTGAGGGGATTAATAATAAGGGGATTGTTAGTGAGGGGATTGATAGCGAGGGGATTAGTAGTGAGGGGATTGATAGTGAGGGGATTAGTAATGAGGAATTGTTAAATTATTTTTATATAAAATAATAAAACAAATAAAAAAATATAAAAAATTAAAAATTATATTTTAAAAAAAATTTCCAATATATAAAAAATAAAAAAAAATAAAAAAATTTCTAATCCCCTCACTATTTTTCTAATACCATCTCTACCTCCTCACTATGAATCCCCTCCCCAAGGGTATTAGTAATACCAAGGGTATTAGTAATACCCTCCCTATCTCTCAAAACAAACAAGGTATTAGTTAGTCCAAGGTATTAATAGTCCCAAAGCTATCTCTCAAAACAAACACCACATATACTAATCCCAAGGTACTAGTAATCCTAATCCCCTTGCTATAACCCAAAACAAAGCACTAACAATATTACTATATGTTTTTAGCAATTTTCATGCTATTTACATAATTGCACTATAAATGGATCATTTTCTCAGCATTAATCTGGTGTTGGCTTTTGATGCTCTTCTGTACTTGAGCACATGGTGCCTTGATCAAGGTTTTGTTTGGGAAGTAGTCTATTTTGGTTGGTTAATTTTTTTTTTTTTTTTGACTATTTTAGTTTGACTAAAATCAGGTCCGGTCTTGAGATCTTCAGGGTCCAAAGTCGATAATTGACTGATACATTTTTGGGGCCCTTCACTTTTTTTTTTTTCATTGAATGGAAAAAAAAAAAAAAAAAATGAAGGTAAAGGACAAAAGATTTGTGTCAAAGTCACAAAAAATACTTAGCATTACATTACAACAATTAATAAGTATTGGTTGATTCTTGCTCTTCTTACATTTTTAGAAATAAATAAATCAATCATACTTACATAATTTAGTTTTTTTGCAAAAATCATTTTCAATAGATAACAATATAAATTATTTTAAATGGGCCTTTCAATTTTTTTAATGAGTCAATTTATTTTAAATTAGTTTGGCCTTCCCTAATTTTTTTTGAACTTAAAACATACCTAATATATTATACTAAACTATAATAGAAGGGAGCCTTTTTTTGGGTCTATAGTCAATGGATAACAATACTAATTTTTTGAATATGCCTTTTAATTTTTTAATGGGTCAATTTATTTTAAGTTAGTTTAGGCCTTCTTCAATTTTTTTTTTGACTTAAAACATATCTAATATATTATACTAAATTATAATAGAAGGGGGTTCATTTTTTAGTTCTATTTTAAGGGGCCCTGGGCCATGCCCTGGTGGCCTTATGACCAAAGGCCGGCCCTGACTAAAATAGTTGGATTTGAGAAGTTGATTGACTTTTTTTTTTATAGTTGATTCGATCGTTATGAGAGAAAAAGTGAAATGATTATTAATTGGATCTGAAATTTTATCTTATTAACTATTTTAACCTATTTTATCTTTTAATAAATTATTTTAATCCACTCCTTTTCCCAAAGTCCCCTAAATAACCAAACTATAATTCATCAAGTACATAACAGTGGTCAGCTTATGCGGAGTAAGATTTTAACAATGGTCAGCTTATAAGAAAATCCTTGAGATGGATTGATTTAAATGATAAGATTTTAATAATTGCAATTGTGTTGTGGGAGTCCAAAAAAAATCGGGAGATTTGATGATACTTCTTAATTATTTAATTTGTCTTTCAAAAGAATAAGAATTATATAAGTACTTTCAAAATCTCCTAATATTTTAAAACTTGTTTCATTTATTATATTACCCTCATATCTATCAGCTCTCCTATTAAGTCATCTTCACTATATATTTCAGAGTAAGATTTTACTCTGTATGAAAGTAAAATTTTACTCTGAATAAGAGTAAAATGTTATACTCTGAAACTAAAAGTAAAATTTTACTCTGTATAAAAGTAAAATTTTACTCTGAAAAACTAGTAAAATGTTAGACTCTACACAAAAGTAAAATTTTACTCCATAT